AAGTACAATTTATAATTAGGTACCTACTTACTTGGCGCAAATCGATCGTAAACCGATGTTACCCAGCTATTGTTTTTTCTGTATAGGTCTATATAATTCGCTCCCCGTGCGGCCCCACCATAATCCTTCTAAATTTGTAATTATTCCGTACCCGTAGGTATATGTATATCTTATTAAATGATTTTGTACTTATCTTTGTTTATATCCATTTTGCCTCGTCGCCACATATAGTGTTCACTTATTTGTTATTTATGTCTTCTTGTATGTAAGTTGTTATCGACGTAATATCGGCTCGTTAGCCATATCCATCTTTACTCCGCGGCGCTTGCGCAGGGACTCCCTTCCCTCTTGCGCACGGCGGTCCGTGTACGCTCGGCTCGAGACGATAGATAATAAACTGCTAGTGTTTCCACATACACTACAGTTATCAACTGTTGAGATGTCTAAGTAAATAAATGAGTATTATTTTATATACGATTGTCACTTGAACTTTTACTTACCAATTTATTTTGATACTGTGTTTATTAGTCAGGTATTAGTTACAAACAATTTTAGGTCAAATCTCAACATGCAACTACGCAACCCGAGCAGCACTGAGAAACGATCAAAAATTATCAGACCAAATATAAAACTCTACCCACACGTGTAATCGGATTTGACCTTTAAAATAAAATTGAATGCTTTGGTTAAAAATTCTAACGTCACAGGGTCTTTACTTACTGAGCAGGTATAATCGCTGAACGTGTGCGTATATGATTGGATTCAAACATTGGGCCCAACAATTGAAAATTTCTCATCATAAAAAACGAACGTAAAAGTGTAGAGAAAAAATGTGCTCCACGGAAATACCCTGGTGCGGCTCGAGTTTTGAGCGTGTTACTACGCAGTTACAAGTCATCCCATAGGAAATGAATCTTAAAGTTAGGGCGTTTAGTATCAACTTCAAACAACAATGCAATAAGAGGGTCCAACAAAACTTTCAATGAGCAAATTTATAGCTAGCTATAGAAGGCCCAAATAGGATGGTGTGAGTCGCTTGGTCGTTATAATTGTTTTGTGAAATAGTCAAATGGTTGAATTGGGTTTTGTGAACCCTCTACATTGTAATTATGCCTAAGCATTGTATGGGAAGCGAATGTTCTGGAATGGGAATCCTTTAGATGTTCTTATGCATATTAAGCATAGATACCCGTTTAAATTCTAGTAAGAATATATAATATGTAGCTCTATAAAATATAGTCTTTTAGTCGAAAAGCTCAATAGTATTTTAGTCGAAAAGCTACACTATATTTAAGATTATCTATAAAAATTGAATGGAGATTCTGAAATCAACCAAATGTGAAAAAACCAATGTTTTTAAAACAAGAATTGACAAAATAAAGTCACAGACTAGTTATGCATAATTTCATCGTATTCTTGTATATATAGACTCTGAAATATTTTTGTCAGAATTATAAACTTAATATACCTAAATCACAATAACATATTGATCCCAGAAAGGTAGGCAAGCCAAGTGTTGGTGTTTACCATTACTAAAGAAATAATTAATCAGATAACAAATTGACATACATTTTTCTTGTATCAGTTGGATCGAATTGATGACCTCAGTCTGGTTTATCAGAATAATAAAATAAACACCTAAGTATCTACTAGGTCACGGCTTTATTATTAATAAAATATATTAATTAAAGTCTGTTGTTATAAGTTATTTATCCTGTACCAGTCTATCAAGTTCACAAATATAAATATATAACTCAGAATAGTAGAGTTTTTAATATTGAAAGTCCTTTTGTAATCCATTCAGAATTCGCAGTGTAAATATCATATATATTTACACTGCGAATTCTGAATGGATATTAGTGTTATTAGCATTGAACATATTGTGAACAATTAGTCATCTATATTTAAACGTCTTTTTAAAAATATTTATTATATAGTTGCCCGAATTTTATCTTTGGCCTCACGTTGTTACTTTGTGACGTATAGCGTCGTCCTTATTGATTTTTCCTTTGACGTCATTTGGTTTAGGTCTAAGATACATTGACTTAGTCTAAGGTGGGTAAATAATATCATCGTCATCATCACTTTAGTCATATATAGGTTTGTAGTACTATTTTTTATCATAAAAATATACATCATTTGATTTACTTGCTACCTGTAATAACATTGTGTCGTATGTTTTTTTAATAGCTCTCCATATTACTAAGATTATTTATTCTGTCTGCTTTCTAAGGTTCCAATACATTCATTGCCTGATAATATATCATTAAGTTATAGTATTTTTTATAATAGTCATATATTATATACTTACAAGTGATTATAAATTGATTTTAACTAAGTTTTAACTAAGGATAAATCTGGGACTCTTACTGGTAGAGTATGGTTCTCCAGGCTAGAAATTTGAATACCATTCAAATTTCAATTAATTTAATTTAGCACTTATTGAACTAGACTTATATATATATATATATAATATAGTATAATATATAATACTAGAAAATTCATTCTATAAAATGTAATCATTTGAATCTATTACAAAACTATTTGTTATGATAATATTGTTCTTCCATTCATATTCAATATCTAAGAGCGGGTGTGTAAAACAGCCTAAACACTGTGGAAGCCTATATTCGTATACTTTTATTTAGCTTCAGGGACAAAGGAAATCGCCTGATTTTGATAACGTTTCCTCCTGAATATTTGGCGCATAAAAATCTGCCCTCATTGTAATAATGCCAAGAGAGTATTGATTTTAAGGACCCGGTATTCTTGGAAATTTCTATATTAAGGGTAGAGATCTCCTTAGATTTACATTGACGATATCCACAAAGAAAAAGTATAATAAGAAACTACGTATAATAAAAGTAATGAATTTGTTATTATACATCTTCGTGTAAAGATAAAGAATAGATAGAAAATCTTGTTTTACGATTGTGATTTGTAATAATGATTTTTTAAATAGCACGTAGGCACTAGTATCTAGTATATTTTTGTTAGAAGTTTTTGAACCCATATTTTGTTAAATATTAATGTTACTAATTTTAATTTGTATTTATCTTCAATCTCATTTTCACCCACATATTTTGAAAACAGCTTCTGGAGTCTATTTTGTAGAAATAATAACATATCTTATCTTCATATGGTATGATAAGATATTGTCATTCCTTTAAAATTTTATTTATTTTCTATGATACGTAAAACATACCATTTTATCATCATCATCTACCTAATGCACGAATTTCTGAATATCTGATTTCAATTTGAATAAGAATGTTAGAATTAATTTTACACGACTGACATTTGTTGTAACAATTCTTAGCATTATCGATTATTCATAATTTAATTTGGGTCCATGACCTCACATTGTTATAGTTATCAGCTCAAATTGTGTCATATTTTGCGCTTGTTGGATACTGTATATCTACTCTCATATCTGCTGTAGATACTGACGCAAGTTCTTGTCTAAGAAAATATATTTAAAATCTTTTGACATGTTTGGTTGAGATAAGCAACTTGCTTGTGTGATCTTAGTAGTTTACATATCACCTGATATTGATATCTTTAAACAGCTGTTTCAACCCTCTCCAGCTTAAAGTTTCATTGATTAAAATTAATGTGTTGACATAGTCGTAATACTAATCAAATTGAGCATCAACTATACCGTCTGACTTGATTGCAATAATACCAAGTTAAGACGTATACATTTTATAACTGGATCCACTACTATTATGATAGAGGCTCAATTTATGAGGGTTATGTTATTGTTATTGTCAGTCACGTAGGCCCGCCTGAGAAAGATATGCTGTGCGAAAGAGATAGTGTTGGAATAGTCGAGAATGCTGTGTGAGCAGGATAACGATATGGCGTGACAACAAACATGGCGGCGCCGGCTGCCGGTTGGACCGGTTTCCGTGCCCATACCACGTGCGATCTGCGCCGTGCATTTGCTCCCGCATTTTGTTTGTCAACAAACGCCCTGTGAAGGTCATTCATAGGAGGGTTAGGACAAAGGAGTTCTCGTTACGTAACATCTTAAACAAAGAAATAATCCTACAAGAATATTATATGTTGTTAACCAATTGAATTGCGGCAAACAAATATGAACTTTATGTCAGTATTTTTAGGAGGTGATGTAATGAACTGTGCTCGGTACTATTCATATTAACTTTTCTTTGTTCCCTTCACCTTGTGTAAGGAGGTACGAAATCGGTTTCCAGTTAGAATCCTATCTAAATTCTAAAATTATTTAAAGGTTACTTTAAGTGCACCTGCTACTTATTTAGATTCTATAATATACTACGAAATTATATTGTAAGTAGGTTAGTAACAAACACTATATGAGGCGTTGTTTTGATCGTCGTATGTAGTATGTACATAGTTCAATATTACGTACATATTATAAGATATAAAAACATACTTTTTATTTACTGTAGCTGTAACTGTAGTAATTTTCAAAATTCAATTAATAATTAATATATATCTAATAATTAATATTATAAGTACGGATCCGTACATAGGAATTTGTTTATTATAAATAGATCGAGTATGGCAACGTAAGTAGATAGATAGAAATGATGCAATGCATTGCATGAATGAGTGCTAAATTGCATAGGTTTACCTAGCTACGTATAATTAGAAAAAACGCACGACTATTCTGATGTAATAATTAACCAATAATATAGTCTATCTAGAAATTAACCGAATCGACTATTTTTTGTTTAGATAGATATATACTTCTACAGGAAAACGTCTTTTTATTTTTAGAAAAGTGTGTATATATACTATACTACGTATTTTGTAATATTATTCCACCGATGGTCTAAACGACAGTGAGAAAAAATAAACTAAGTACAAAAAACATAAACACGTCAGCGGTGTGAGTGAGTACGCATGCGTCGGTGTGAGAGGCCACAACGACGCACCAGGCAGGCAGTTGCCGGCGGGGATAAAGGTGGGGTACGGGAGCGGGGAAGCCTGTTAGAGCCGGCTCCGCTGCGGCCAAAACTCTTCAGTTGGATTTCAGAACATCAGACGGGCGGGCGTGTGTAGGATGGATCGTTAATAACATCAGCAGTTTTTTTCATTCCGCCTTCTAGCAGTGTTTGTTTATTACCTTCCGGCACACTTTCCGTGAATCCTTCTCGACGGTGGTGCTTTGTAAATTTTAATTTAGACGTTCATTTTCTATCTTTATAACGTTGTTCCGATTTCACGTCGAGAAGGCGGCCGTACAACTTTGAAAGCGGCTTTTCAAGAGTAGAACACCTACTCGTAATATTTCAATATCGCTGTATCACCGCATCAGGCAATTATCAAGATGGTGAAGAAGGTTTCAGAAGAGAGTGTAGATAGCGGTAAGTTAATTTATAATATTGTTATGTTATTATAGTTTTGCGGAAGTATATTATACATTACTTCATCATTTAATTATTATTATTACTATAAATCTTTTTCTTATAAGATTCCACTAGGGTTTATCTGTTGCTAGTATTGTTAAGCAAATAGAGAATGTCTATTATATATACGACATCAAAAACTACTGCAAAACTATAATATTTTAAAAATCATTTTTATTAATCAGCTTTTACTCTAAAATAGCTTGTTTTTATCTTTTATCCCAGAATGAATATTTTATGATTACCTTCTTTCAATGAATAAAAATTGTACAGGTTTCGTTACGTACGGACAGTAGATAGCAGTAATTTAACGTCTTCAGTCTTTCGAGGTCATTTGTCCATCAGTGCAATATTTGATTTTAATATTACATATATAATAATTTAAGTTATCCAATAGGGTTGAAGAGGCGTACTTATCTGAAAGTTACGAGAGTGAAATAACTGCTGTCTTATGGCAGGTGACGATCTTTTTGCTACATTATTTTTATTAAATAAGACTTACTTGTAGTCGCTAGATACCCTCGATATTTAATATTTTAATGCCCTGTAAAAAACAGTTATCATATGTAGCTACTAGAAACTATCCATAGAATGCTAATAGTATTTATTAATTGCTGATTTATCATAATATGTAGACGATAAAAATATTTAGCGTTAAAGTCAATAGCTATAATGTTTCTTTATTTATGACTAGATTTGCCCGCGGTTTCACCCGTATTAAATTTGTAGCTCATTATTTATTTTCATATATAAATTATATATTACTGTAAAGTTTCATCAAAATACGTTCAGTAGTTTTTGCGTGAAAGAGTAACAAACATCCATCTATCCATCCATACTCACAAACTTTCACGTTTATAGTTTATATAGTACTTAGTAAGATTAGCTACCTACCAATTTTATAACTAAAATTTTTCACTCAAATGAAATATTATTAAAAAAAGTTAAATACAAATTCTTGTCAGTTTTATTTCTATATTTTCTAATAAAATAGAACTTATATTCGATCTGACTTAATTATATAAGTATGAACTAAACCTACAGAAAAAAGAAACCACTTGGAGATTTTGTGCATAAATTCAATTTCTCCTTTTAAATGTCAAAGTTGAAGATAAGCGTTGTCGTTACATTGATGCAGTACTTACTGGGTAATGATTAAGAAACGTACACAAAATGCGACATATAGGATGTATTACGACCTACCTACGGTTATGTGACATCCTGTAATGTCGCAATACAAATTAATATTGCCGTTTGAGGAAATTTGATCTTTCTTCGCTTTGTTTATGCTCGTTTTTCAGTATGTAAATGTTTTGGTTCCTATTACCAATATTTTGCAACTGTGTAAAGCATACTCTATTTTTATTGTCAGTGAAATGTTCTTTTATAGTAAATTTTCCAAAAGTTGTGATATTTATTAGTGTCATTAAACATATTGTATTATGTTACGTACCGTCCTAAATTACACTTCCAACAAGTATTTCATGTACCGTGTAGGTATTAATTTTGTCTGTCACAGCAAATTGATGTTATGTTCACATCCTGTGTTCTGCAATGTTTGCTTATATTGAGCACTTTCAATGATTAGCGTAATATGTACAACCTAAGAGTTATTTTACTCCAAATTATATTATGTACACCTACGCATTATAATACAGTCTGTTTACAAATTTAACTCGTATATTAATAGATTCCTATTCAGGAAGTATAAAATCTGCGGTTTTTTCATTATCTTTTATTGAGATTGAAGTGTGAATATTAATTGAAACATTTGGTTTCGCATACTTTATGGATATTCTGCAATGTACATTGTACAGCAAATTGACTATTTTAGTCTGGAAACTGAGATATGTAAGCAACTATATACATAACTTCGACCTATTACACGGTTTCTTTCTCTGGTGTTAATGTGGAATGCATATAAAATTGAATGTAATTTCATTACGTTACCCCGATAAGTTTATTTTCAACATGGCCGCTGAAGCGCGACGCCCCACGTTCATTGTCAAGGTCAACCTTACCAACTAAAACAAAACACTCAACTTACCGCATTAAGGCGTGTTCACATTATTCTGCCCAGCACAATTACCAAGCTTTGTATAATGAGCAGTCAGTTAGCAACACATCAACAACCCAAATTAATATTAGCGTTTCATTGTTGGGTCATACATTGCTTTGATGATTCGGATTACGCACTGTGCTCATCTGAACCTGAAACTGATGTAAACACACCTTTAGACCTTGAAGAGCACATACCTACAGATAGTGTTTTGATACCATTATGTAACTGAAGTGCGTAGTGCCTGTGCCTAAGTATAAATAATTCCAACATTAGATAGTGTATCTCATGATACAATCTACCATAAGCATATCTTTTATCAATTATTATGATTTTTCAAAAAGATCTAAGTAAATATCCTAAATTCTATACCACTCATAAGTAACTAGTAGGTTAAAATGTTGATTTTATTGTATTATGTACATATTTATGAAAACTTTTTATTTAAGAAAATAAAGTCTATTTTTATTTTTTCTTTATTGGGCTATTCTATTACAAACATTATATTGTTTTTTTTCACAAATTCACACAATACTAATGTGTCTAAAATCTAGGCTAGCACAAGGTCTTCGCTTATTAACAAAATAATAGAAAATATTGATTGACTATTCATCAAACTCCATAATTAAGGAGTGCATACTTAGTTAGTTAATGAGATATACCCTTTTTCATTACGATATCACTTGGAATTCTAATTCTATGTCGATTAATAGTCATTCATTCGTGTCTATCAGTTGAATAAAACGGAGTAACCTTGACCGAGACTATATGCCTGTACAGCGTAATATCAAAGCCCCTTCCCCACTCCCTATTGCGCCTTACTTTTGCAAAATCGATTTCTGTACTGGCGCGGCCAGCTGCATACACCCTCTAACATACCCAGGATCGTAGTTTCACTAGTACTACTTTTCGTTTACATGTCTTTATATCTGAATATAAACCAGTATATACTAGTATGTGTGGATCATATATATACAACATGCCTATATTGGCTAACTTTGGTTTACATGCGTCAGACAGGCTCGTGGTTCTTCTAAATATGGACTACCTAAATTGCCCGAGTTACCAAGTCGTTACGTATATAGTAATGTTATTATCTATATTCGGCATGAGGGTTAGATCACTGAACAGTGAAAGTGCTTTCGTATTACAGTACCTACCTATAGTTCGAAACGCCCTCGTTGAAGTTTCACTAACTGTTATCTCTGTGTAGTTTAGTTTTGGTAGCCGTGCCAGACCGCCTTGGCAGTTTGTTTAACATTGCGGTTCTACTTCTAGCCGACTCGACTTTGCTCTTTGAATATACAATAAATATATATTTTATTCCATTTATTTAGTTACTGATTTAGAGATGACATGTCATTATGCAACTACACGTAACTCACCATACAATGGTTAAAGTTAATTACCATGAACTGATCTTTTCATCGTTGTGAGTGCATTAAACATCAATTGAGAGTAAAGAGTTAAGGGCACTTGTGTGCAATTAGAAAGTAAGTATGCTTGAATCTTAGTTGCTTAGGGTATAAAACAAAGGTGCCTGCAAAGTACTTGCAATCTGGTTAGAGAGCGAATTTGCGGCATTAATACCAATTGATTAGATTAGAAAGCAGAACCCTCTGGGCTTAGGACAGATATTGGTATTATATGAACATTGTAAGAAGCAAGCGTAGGTTGATGATTAAATATTATCTAAGCAGTTTTTAATCATGCGCATAATAGTGTTAATTAGAATATTTTATATTTAGTTCTTTTAAGAGCATCAAAGAATGAGTAAAAATAAGCCTGGAGAAATCCAGATGTTTTTGCTTTCTTGCGTGACTTGGTAACGCTGAGTATGCATAACGATTGTAAATATTTAATTAAATTCACTTTTGATTGAATAATCAATGTAATTCAACTGTTTCCATCGATTTGCATCTTATTAGGTTAATTTGTTAAAAGTGAGTTAATGAAATTAATCATTTTGTTTTAATTTAATTTAAAAAAAATTATGTTGAATTTTAAATATAGTGTTACATATTCAATAACAAGGTAATAATTAATTAAATGAAACATATTGTTTGGACAGTTGATTTATATTCTAATGATCTCATTTCATAATGAATTTAGACAATTTGCACATCCGGATGGTACGATTTTGCATAACAGTCCACGTTGGCGAGCCGAGTGTCTTGTGTAAATCCACGTGGCGAGGTTGTCACGCGAAGCAGTACATGTGGTACTCTGGTTACATGCCATGTGTTTGGTTACATCGTTATAACAGTGAACGCCTGTTGTTTTTATTTTCATATCGAATTATTTGCGTGATTGCAGTTACTCGTGGTAGTGCTTTCCGCACCTATCCAATTTCATGATTATTATCCATTGTGATTATGCATCCGAAACGGAATCATCATTATGGTAAGAGTTAGTGTTTCCTAAACAGATTTTCTGTTTGAACTCTTTAAGCTTATTATATATTTTGGTTATTTTTTTTTTAACTTCTTGACTCGCTTATTTCTGCGAGAGTTTCAGGAACAATTCTTAGCTTGAAATTATATTATGAGAATACGAGTTCGAACTTCTAATTCAATTTAGTAATGTGCGTCGTTATGTTAGCCAGTGAGGTCGGTCACTAGAAATAATTTGTAAACACTTAAGTAGTTATGTTTTCAGAATGATATTTTTGAGGAATATAAACATCTTTACAAATTAACAATAAATAGTTATTGTGACGAGATACAAACAGTTGACATATTCCTCTTGACCCAGCATAATTCAGTTACCTTGTTTACACAATATTCAACAGATTAATATAGTTGTACTAGACATCTATGTACTTGTGTTAATTAAACTCATTAATAGCTCGATATTTATTTTTACTTCGTTTACATAAGCGATGTTTATAAACAAAACATAGAGATATTGCTGTTTTACTTTATCAATTTCTATTCTCATTTAGCATATTTGTATGTGTGTAAACAGGAAATTTATTTGTCGAAACGGATGATTGTATGCGTGGGTGTGGCTCGATTGCTACAATAGTTCACTTATTGCGCATTTGCCAGTTGCTATTTGCTATATAGGTGTATTTACATAGTCTACGTCCCAAAGTGAGGTCATCGAGTGCTGTTAATTGTTAAGTTTCGCTTTTGTTATCTCCATTCCACAGCCGTTGAATGAAACGTGTTCGTTACATACATTAAACAAACAAAATGTGGATTTTATACGAAACGCAATCTAATCTTATGTACGCTAAGTTGAGCATTACAATATACAAGGAAGATACTACGTGAAGCAAATACATTCTTGTGATAAACAATATGGTCAGTTTCCTCGGTGTTTGATTGAAAAACACTTGTATGAAATTAAAATTCAACGGATTCTAATTGAATTTAACAGATGCAGCAAGAGTTGCATTAGTACTGAAATAAAAAATAACTTTAAATTTATATTTCTTAACTGTGTTGACTTCAGATCTAATGCTAGGTAGACAGAGAAAGCTGAGACAAAATAGTTCAATATTTTTGTATAGAGAACAGTTTGAATTGCAAATAATTGCAATTTTGCTTGGTGTAGCTACATTTGAAATATCCACGTCAGTTCGGTTTCAGATATTTTGCTATCTAAATGAGAATGCCACTAAGAATGGTCGTCCGCTTTGTTCATAAGACCGATTGATAATGTTATATGCTTGTATGTATTTGTGACTGATTGGTGTTCGCATGCACCAAAAGCCGAACGGTCGCGTAACGTAGGCGCGTACGCAGCGGCAGTGGGTGCGGCCATCTGGGTCGTTGAACCGGCTTTGTTTGCCAACTCAGCTTGCACAGTCACGTCTCACGTCACAACACAACCACATTATAGATGACAACCGTGATGTTCTCACTAACAGAACACACATCAGTATTCCTTAGAGCTCTCTTCCGCGATATGCCTGATTGATTCTAAAAGTGCCAAGTTACTAGCTGACCCGCGCATCTTCGTCTGCGTCGCATTTTTCATCTTTTTGCTCTGCTCCTAGAAGTCGTAGTGTGATGTTTTGTAGTCTATATTCTTCCTTGATTAATGGCCAATCTAACACTAAAAAAAAATTACAATCTGATCTGTTCTATTGGAGATTTCCCCGAACATTCTAACTCATAATCGTAATCGTAGTAACATCTAATTTATAGCAAATAAAAATATAGCGATTATTACTCGCTGGTGATTGTAGCTTTGTATACCAGTAAAAGATACAAATAGGCTAAATATTTTTTGAGTGCATCCATTGCAAACAAACAATCAATCTTTATAATAATACTGGCTGTGTCCTGCGTCGACGTTCGCGTGAACATCGATCATCCTATAGTACTCGTAAATAGTCTGATTAGTTTTTTTTACTTTATCCATGACTAATAACCATAAACAAAAATCTACAATTTCCTTTTCATAATTAAGATTAGCACAGATAACATAATATTGTCTTAAAGAAATATAGGTATACACATTTGATATAAAAAAAATTACATGTTTCGAATATAAAATGGAGTATTGTAGTAATGTACTGGGTAAGTCATTATTTATTCTTGTGTATTATGGCACACATACACACAGCGTCTCAATTTGTAAACCAAACATGGTGAAAACATTTTAACAATGGGCTGGCTATGAATACGAGAGAGAGTTGGTCGAGCTCTACAGAATGTATTGTGGCATATTAACATCCATTAAGTCATACCAAATTCATATAATGCATTTAAGTATCTACCTATCCTAATGTTAATATCATAAATCGCAAATAAAAAACCTTTCTCTATGCAAATTGTGCAAAATGTTATAGCCATTTCAAGTACCACAATTTTTCATAAACAATAATAATAGGTGTTACTACAAGTTTCTATCTTTTTGTTTGTGTTTATATTTGTGGACCGATTTTTTAAATTACTTTTTTTATCTAATATTTTATTAGTATTCATCTGATAATATTTTAGACTTGGTGTTTATTGTTTTCATTTCATTTAATAAGTTAATTAATATGAGTCATATCGTTTCTTTTCTGTAATTGAGTACGTCTAAATTATCTAAATAAACTTACTTAGCAATTGATAAGAATTATGCTATTTACACAAAGGGTATTGCACTTGGTTAATGATAATAGCCACGATATATCAAATACTATCATATGATTGATGAATTTATATAATCGTCTTTCACTCTATCCATCCATCTTACTTCAGTCCGACTTAACCTTTATATACATTCAAGTTCATATTAATTACGACTTTTAACATGTCTATATGTATATATATTATAATATACACATATACATGTAATTTGCGACTTAAAATAAAAGATATCCAAAACGGAATATGATATTACAACCAATTAGGATGCGATAACTGATGAATAAAAAAAAGGTAATTGTAAACGCAAAACGATCCGGTCAAAAATAAATAGTAACGTAACAAGAAACTAGTACCAAATACTACTTACTCTAGTAACTAGTATGTATAGGTGATATATTTGTCGTTACATTTACAATTCTATTAATCAGACATGTTTCTTTGTTAAAAGGCGTCGGACGCTGCAGCAGCCAGTCGGGCAGTGAGCGAGAATTGGACGAGAACCCACGTGGTTCTGAACCCTCGGCTCCGGTGTCCATTCCCGACAGTGATGATCTGCAGCGACGCAAAGAAGAGGCGCGCAGGAAGCGCCGAAGGAAGAAGCGCTCCGGTAGCTCTGTCGTCACGTCATGTTTCCAAGGTGAGAGAGATGGAAATAGTTTCCTAATTAACGTAGATTTGCTGTAAGCTGTGGTCCGTTTGTTATTATTATTATTAACATCGCTATCCTTCAGCCTTATCGCTGAACAATTCACACAGCGCCATGTAAGTCAAAAGCTAAGTAGAGTTTGTGTTATAGGTACTACATTTTTTGTAAATATATAAGTACATAAAAACGCCTAGACCGTTACAAATAATCTCATTAATAAATACAGAACCCGCGACCATCGGAAGTAAAGCAGTGCCCTAAATCACTAGACCACCGACGCCGTCAAAATATTACCCTGTAATTTTACACTATATTTCACCCCTCAAACTGCCCGGGCCGGTGAGCACCTTGATTGCCATTTCAGTTATATAGTCACGATTCAAATAATGACTATGATTGATGGAAAGCATACATGTAATGGATATGTAATGATTAGGTGCCATCGATTGCCTTTTCCGTATACATACAGCTATTTTGCCTTGAGGCTTATTTACCTCACTGAGTTTTGTAGATCATTTCTGCGATATTGAATAAAAAACCTATATATTTAATACCACTTATTTTTCAAATCTTTGAGGTACCTATTAATATTTATTCTTGGAACTAGTAATGTAAAACTCTGGAGTTTTAATTGAAAACAGTCCCATAGTTCTTATGACCGAAACGAGTTGGTTTCTATGACTATTTACCCACTTTAAAACCTTAAACTAACCATTCTAATCTAAGTATGGAATGTTTTCTTCATTAAATATCTTGAAACTTGTTGCAGATCTTTACAAGCTGACAGGCGAGGTACTGGGCGAGGGCGCATACGCATCTGTTCAGACATGTGTGAACATCTATACGGGCCAGGAATTCGCAGTGAAGATCATCGATAAAGTGCCAGGCCACGCCCGCGCCCGGGTGTTCCGCGAAGTGGAGACTTTCCACTATTGCCAGGGGCACCCCAACATAATCCAGCTCATTGAATTCTTTGAGGACACAGACAAGTTTTATCTTGTCTTCGAGAAGGTGAGCACAGTTTTATTTGTAACTGTATTCTTCTATTTCTGAATGATAGTTACAGAGAATATAGTAGGGCATTAGTACAAAACTTAACGTATATAAGCAGCTCAAATGTGACATGAATAAATGATTTTGGATGTTTTCTATTACCGCGTTAAAAAAACAAACTCTTCAGTAAGGATACTAGATTGTTTTCGCAATTTTCGTCCGTAAACATGTCAAAAATTATAATTGTTTAGTTAGGATTTGGATAGGATGTAAAGTTATATAGGACCATTATACTATTTTTACCTACGAACTACTAGATAATTGACGTTATGAAATCATACCATTTAAAAAAAATTAACGCAAAGATTCATATTCGTTTTACATAAGTGCCTCCTATTATTTCATCATCAACAATTTGTATTTTAATCTATAATATTGGTATCACGCAATACACTGTTTTCCACTGTTATGCGCGAATGCTCCGGCATGCGATGTAAATGAATTCTTGCATTGAATATTGTTTGAATAACTTCATTCACAATTCAAGACAATTATTTCTGCTACGCTAAATTAGACTCAGTTGATTTGATTTGCGAGCTATTGGTATTTGAAATAAATTTAAATGGCATTTTTATTAGTCATATTCCGGTTATGCCTTACTGTAAATACATACTCTTATTATATGAAATACTCACATGAAGTTATACAAAAATAATTCAGTATTGTATTAAGACGACTATTTGTTAATTTTCAGTGAATGGAATTCGTAGAAATAGTATCTGATAAGGTATCTCAATACATAATATGAATACCCTTCTGCCGATTACTCTTTCTAAATTTTATTGCTAAACAATAGTTGCCAGTGATAATATGATATTTATTTAAATTAGGTAGGTATTCATATTACTTAGAGAGATTTTTTTCCCTTATAAAATACTAGCTGTTACTTAGCTATAGCTAACACTGTCTGCGGTTTCATCCGCATGAAATGTATAACCTATGTATTATTCTGATATATAAACTATATTACTGTAAAGTTCTATTAATATACGTTCAGTAGTTTTTGCGTGAAAGAGTTACAAATGTCATTAAAACTTTCTGTATCCATCCATCCGAACTCACAAACTTTCGCGTTTATAATATTAATAGGATGAATGTGTATATCATCCATAAAAATATTGACGCTGGTAGAGAGTTCCACTCCTTAGCTGGAAAGATGATGCAAATCGGTTGCTATGAACAGCAGGCATGTTTTGATTTTGCAATATAATGTTTACTAAAAAATTACAATTATGCAAGTTTTCCTGATTGACTATAGTTAATTAAAAATTCAAATTCCGAATGTGGTTTCCTTTCATCACATAGACAATCAAGTCCACGGAAATTTAATCCTAATTAATGAACTCTTGTTTGTCTATATGTATATTCTCTCATTGTCTACTCTGTAAAGTCTGAAGATTATGTATAAAGTTATGGAAAGATACAATATGTACATTATGTAAACAATAGTCATTGTACATATGTTTTACTTTAAGTTGCTATGTCATTAGTCATCCGAAAGCTGAAAATATTTTTCCCAACAATAATATATTTCGGGTGATTGAAGTCATCAGTCTTATTGATCGTTGACTCATATACCATAATAAATTATAAGAAAATAGGTATACAATAATATAATAAGCGTTACATTTTCCATTTATCAAGAATGCTCTTATTACGGTTTCTTTCATTTTACCATATTCTGGTTTTGTATAGACTTTGTTTCCATTTATTGATAAATATTACTCATTCTATTGTTTGTTACAATTATAAGAATAATATCAGCATAATATTACTGAATACCTAATAATTAGAAATAAAACCGCAATTTAAGCGCTGTCTAATTTAAAAAAAATGCAGGTCGCTCACCTTCAGTTACGAACTGCATCTCGAATCGCGTGTTTCTTCTCTTAGCATTTCTTCTAATCACCTTAAACTATGGTATATCCGGTAGTATTTGTACAGATATGTCTTATATTATGGCTACTACACTCTATCTCTCTTCCAGTCTCACTCCATCTTACTTAGAGGTCTTCTAATCGTGCACCCTTCAAAGAATCCTCTGTTCTTGTATATTGTCATTGGTCTACATCTATATCATTCGATCAATTTTTCTACGGCAGCTGTTCATTTATGTGTAGATCCCGCGAGAATTTTGCTATATTTGATATTTAGCGTAGGGAAAGAAATATTAAAACACACACACGCGACTAAAAGGCCCTGTATGAATGAATTGCTTTTGGTTTGATTAGACGTGATTATAAAACGTTTGTTCGTTACAGATCAACGGCGGTCAGCTCCTATCTCGCATCCAGGAGCACCACTACTTCTCAGAACCGCAAGCGGCCGAAATCGTGCGCGAGATAGCCAACGCGCTGCATTTCTTGCACGGCAAGGGTGTCGCCCACCGTGACCTGAAGCCGGAGAACATTCTGTGCGTGCACCGTGACCGGCTGTGCCCCGTCAAGATCTGTGACTTTGATCTTGGCAGCGGCATCAGCTTTACTTCGAGCCTCGCCAGTCCGCTAGCAACGCCGCAACTGATGACCCCTGTAAGTTCGGCTTAATATTTTATCAACTACTAAAATAGTGGTTTAGTTGAATTATTTATTGAAACTTCAATGCACAAATAAACGTGTACACGGCGGACATAGCAGTTTGAGGCATTTTCCTCCAATCACAACCATAGGGCAAATTTCAGAGATTCATGTAGGCGGTGTATTATCAAAATTTTGGAATTTCTGTGGTTTCAACATTAATTTATGCAAGTAATTTAAAAAAATAAGATCCTAATTAGCATTTGTGTGTGTATACATCTTCACCATTTTTGTACTAATTTATCTCTAGATATCTATTTTGATCGACAAGAAGGTACACTGTTTGACTCAAAATAAAATAATGTCTAAAGCTTGTATCTAATAATTTGTTGTGGCATGTAATAATGGTGGTCGAATAAGAATTAATACACTTTTTACCTCTTTTTTTATAAGGCACAAAATATAGGCAACTAGTTAAAAAACCTTTTATGTGAATGTTGGTATTATCTATTGTATTTTAGCACCGAAGCTGTACGTGCAAACAATACTAAGATTATATCACTTGAAAGTAAAAGAAATATCTTGTAAATATTTTTGTAGAATTTACATACACATTCCGATACTGAATGACCTAGTATTTCTCAGTTATTTACTTATTCAGGAGCCTATATTTGAGGAGGTTTATTTAGGCGTGTCTAGTTTTTTTAGGGTGAAAAGGTAGGGCGGGTGGAAAGTAGGGTGGCTCTAAATATGGGCTAAGAATTGGGGCTAGGGAGGCGTATAGTACCAATGTACATACGTGTAACCTGAAAAAGTTTTGTTTCTATTTTCATTTAAGGTTTAAGTGAATATTGAAGGAAAATGTTGTATCATTATACGTATCTATACTGTATGTATATTTATAACCTCGTTATAGTATGTAAGTACTATTTGTTAATAATAATTCTATAGGACATAGGTGTGACCTAATTAAATTCATAAAATGAGTTTATTAATAAGTTAATATTAAGTGCAATGTTACAGTTGTTAGTGGTTTAGGACACAGACATTTAAGTTTTATTTATTTAATAGATAGTAGCATAGTTACATTAAAAATACATACTTACATGGGCAGTGACTGGTTGCTTATTAAAAATTAATTATAACAATTTATGTTTCTTAACGACAATGCAAAATGGTGCGAGACTGTAAATAATTTTGGGTTAACTGGAAGATTTGTCTTAGAAGGACAAGTACACCTTTGCTCACATTATCTCTTAAAGTATATTACTACTGTATTATCTGTGCAATAAAGACCATAATAAATAATTGTCAACAGGTGGGCAGTGCCGAGTTCATGGCTCCCGAAGTGGTGTCCCTGTTCGCGGGGTCGGCGGCGACGCACTACGACAAGCGCTGCGACCTGTGGTCGCTCGGCGTCATCGCGTACATCCTGCTGTGCGGGTACCCGCCGTTCCGCGCCGACTGCGGCGCTGACTGCGGCTGGGAGCGCGGCGACAACTGTCGCGCTTGTCAGGACCTCCTCTTCACTTCTATACAGGTTCGCTTATATACATCATTGTTATTATTCCATACTAGCTGACCAGTGAAACTTCGACTGCATCACACATATTATATTACGCTCAATTTACCTAATATCTTGTTAAATTATAGCTTATATGTTATTCTGATATATAAGCTCTATTACTGTAAAGTTTCATCAAAATCCGTTCAGTAACTTTCGCGTGAAAGAGTAACAAACATCCATCCATACTCACAAATTCGCGTTTATAATATTTGTAAGATAGTTACTGTTGGTCGTGGCTCTTTCTCAATGACTGTTAAAATTAATATCTGTGATTTGTAAATGTAACAATTTGTCTATTGTCAACCAGGAGGGTCGGTATTCGTTCCCGGAAGAGGAGTGGTCTCACATCTCGTGTGAGGCCAAAGATCTGATCGGGCAACTGCTGGTGCGCGAGGCGTCGCACCGGCTGAGTGCCGAGCGAGTGTTGCAGCATCCCTGGCTGCGACGCGCCGACCCTCATGCACATTTCCCGCCGCTGCAGACGCCGATTAATATTAAACGGTTAGTTACATACTAATTTCTGCTTGATTATATTATTTTTCAGTTCATAATTGTAAATCCGAATGTGAGGGTATTCTTATTTTGAAGAAAAATAGTGGCAGTGAAATTACAGGGTACGACACGGTAAGATACGACAACTTAGACCTTAGGAACGGTTTTGAATAAGGGTTACCGTGGAGATTACATACCAATGTGATGTCAGTGGTGTTTGTGTATGTGTGTAGATCAGTGTCACTTTTCGTTAGGTATAGTGTTAGTTTGTTTCCCGTTGTATAAGCAAAAACGTTGTCTTTCTGATCATATTAGTTTTCACGTATTTAGCTATAGGTATATGTTGTCTTTTCTTTTCTTTCTTTTTCTGGACTATTAGGTAATACAGCGCAATCTAGTCCCACGGTAAGCAGAGCTTGTATTATAGGCAGACAACTGATACAAAATACTAAGATATTTTTTTGTAAATACATAATATACGAGTATGTAAATATATAATATACATAGAAAGCACCCAGACCGATACAAACAATCATACAAATGTTTGCACCGTGCGAGGAATCAAACTTGCGTCTATCACAAGTAAAGCAATGTACTAAACCGCTATACCACCGAGGCCTTTAAATCGAGGTTGTCTCATAATACTTCCCTACAAAAATGTTGTGTTAACAATTCGTAAATGTCTTTACTAACAGGAATATGTCGGCGCGCAATCTGTCCAACTTCGCCGAATCCGCGATGGCCGTGAATCGAGTGATCCAGCAGCACTTCTCTATGAACTACTCGTACATGGAGCGGCCGGCGGCGGCGCTGCGCTGCAGCAAGTCGTGCTACCCGAGCCCGGACTCGGTGCGGCTGGAGCTCTCCCCGGACAGCATCCTGGAGGCCGACGAGCTCGGCCAGTACTGCGCGCCGCCGCTCGGGCTGTCGCCGCCGGCCGACTCGGAGCTGCTGCGCCGCCGGCTGCAGGCGCTCGACAAGCCGCTGCCCGTGCACTAGTCCCTCGGGCCCCCGCCGCGACCTCCACCCAGTGTCCGATCATAACGCTAAGCCCGCCGCCGAGGTCTGCGTCTCCCGTCAGTTTGCCAATAATTATAAAAGCGTGTGAGAAGTTAGCCACCCGTGCTTTGTGCTGTGAGCGATATCTAAAACATAGTTTCGACCGGGGCTTAAACGTAGTCTATGCAGTAGTACGACAGAAAACACATTTGTATAAGGAAAAATCATTATTTTCTGTATTGTTTGATAATTTCGCCATCGAGCCGTATTTTCGACGTGGAGATTGGACAGTATTGGAGTTTTAGAGTTGGCAAATCTGGCGGTGGTGTCCTGCGCCGGGCCGGCGGAGCGACCCCCCGCGGCCGCCACATTCCAGCGAGCGCCCGAGCCGGCCCGCGCACCGCCGACGTCGGTTCAGACTGTGCCAACGGAAATATTCCACCAGTGATACGTGATAACGTGACCGATCGCTCCCCGGCGACCGGATCTTATACATAGAGCTGTAACAGTTTTATTTGAGCCTTTTAAAGATATATTTTTATGAATAAACAAAAAACGACTGAATAGTTTTATCGATATGTAGATATGATGATGTATTTGTGTGGAGGCGGTGCCACCCGCACGCCTACGACCGACGACGGTCGTTAAAAATCGTATTATATTGAGATAGTTGTGCTGATCTACATAATAATTATTATATCGATTACAGTTATTATTTTTGGATTTATGAAATCCGCAGATTGAGCTTATGTATTTGTGTAAATCGCCTTTCGTTTGTGGCCTATCCATTGCAATAATTAAAAATTACTATATCATTTTCTATGGAGTTTTTGGATACTAGTCTGTTTATGTGATCGTTATTTGCATTTTTACCAACGATGAAAAACCACATCTCATTAATTAAGAACGAATCAAATGTTTTATATAAGATTGTTAAGATGTACAAAATATGTGACATTTTTCTATTAGGTGCAAGTGTTATTTTTGCTTCGCAAATTTGTTTTATCTCTACAAGTAGAGTGTCGTACATATCGTATGTACTTATGCGATTGTTCGTGATCGATGGAGAGGAAAAGATCTATTTGTGAGCTGATTGATTGAAATGTCATATATTGGAATCGAGCTGTGTTGGTTGGTACGATGTGTTGCATGGGGTTCCGTAGAGCTGCCATTAACATTGTGATCAGTTTGAATACTTTTATATTGCGAAGTGTGAAGCGTTGAAGTAAGTTAAGTGTAGACCTGCTAGTAGCCCGCGTACAGCGTTGATTGGAGAAAGGTCCAGACAGCCTCCCTATTGGCAGTTATTGTTTTATATTCACAAATTTTATATTTCAATTGAGTAATTTAAGATTTATTAATTCTATACTTTTTAGTCAGGTGGCTTATCCAATCAATATTTAACTGTAATTGCGCAGAAAAATTGTTAAAAATTTGTTTTCGACTAAATCATTGATTTGAACTGTCACTGAAATACAGATGTTTGAATTTTTATATGTTTTGTTTTATTTATTATAAAACCTACTCAAAACAATAATTAAAACAATCGGATTCACATACATATAGGTAGGCTCCGCACGAGCCCCATATTTGTTTAACTTTTAATTTCACTTATGAAAATGTATCCACAGTCAGTAAGACTGGATACATTTTAATAAGTGAAAACATCTTCGCACATAATGCATAATTTTCGAAGAAATTTTATTACCATACAAAAGTCCTAGTGAGTTAACATGAAAAGATCGATATATATAGTGGCAGACTTTTTTTAGAACTTAACATTTGAGAATAATCCTGTCAGACATATTTATCGTTTAACGTTAACCATTTATGCAGTGCACGCTGTGGAGGCACTCAAAAATAATATTTTTGGCCACATTTTTCATTGCTGTTCCGCTCCTACTGGTCGTAGCGTGATGGTATATAGCCGGATGGTATATAGGACTCAATATATAAATATATAATTAATAAGAGTGAAAGAATTTTTAAAATAGGAGATTATCCCAAACAAAGATAAATTACCACAAACTTTACCTCTTTGTAATATTAGTATAAATACATGAACGTATGCAGGTTTTTTTTAAAGATGTGTATAAATTAGAGAGGTTTTATGGTAACGGGATTGATCAATCTACATTGCTGTGTATTGTACGTCGCTTTATTAAAAAAGAAGCGAGAGGACTCGACAAGATTATAGTCAGACTAGTCTTTAGAATAATTATTATTTTCTATATTGGCATACAATGTGTTTACCACAAAATAGTGTCGAAGCAACTCTATTGATGAAGTAAAGCAATTAATTTTTTTCATATGGTTTAATACTAGGAAGCATTGGCTATTCCTAGCATTAAACCATATGAAAAACACGCCTTCAGGCTGTTCATTACAATAGATATACTCTACTCTGGTATACTTATTTTACTCTTTGGATATACCAATCTATACATCTATACATAAAAATAAAATTGAAGTGCCTGTTTGTAATTTTGAAAATCTCGTTCTTTACTACAGAAAGTCGAAGAAGTCGAAGTCGAAGTCAGGTAGTAAAAAATAAAAACAAATTTATTTATTTTACTTATTGTGTAGTTAAAGTAAATAAAAGTTAACAAAGGAAACGTATTTAAACGGCAACCAGTGTCACAAGCAGGTGGCAGGTGTCATCACAAATGTTTGTGATCAAACTAACATAATTTAGTTACGGTTCGAAAGGTCAACCCGCCGACCTTTACAGAAGCAAGGTACATACACAAAAATAACATTTTTTACAATTTTTGTCTGTCTGTCTGTCTGTCTGTTTGTTCCGGCTAATCTCGGAAATGGCTGGACCGATTTTGACGGGACTTTTATTGGCAGGTGGCTGATGTAATAAGGAGTAAGTAACTTAGGCTACTATTATTTTAGAATAAAGTTAAATTCCACGGGGACGAAGTCGCAAGTGCAGCTAGTATGGGTATATAAATAGAATTCATTTTTATTGCTACAGATTAAAATGCGAATCAATTGTTACCCCTATGATAGACCAATTCAAACGGGGATTGGAATTATAACGATCTGAGCACAGGAACGAACCCCCTTTTTTCTTTTTTTAAATTTTAAAAATGCCTCATCATTGCCTCACAGAACATAAGTACCGCAGACCGGGCCCTTATTGCTTACCTTACACTTACAACTTTTGGCAATCTGCGTTGCATAGCATTAGAATCTTTACAAAAAATCTATTATTAGGTTGAAATTATAAAAATATAATTACAGTTACACGTCTACAATTATTAATGATAAGTTATATGTACCAAAATATTCTTTATAGCATTTTGTTCAAAAATATAGTCATTCTGTTAAACTTATATTCTCTTTTATGGCAATGTTATTTATACATACACTTACAAATTGTGCGAAAGGGACAAGTCTCTGTATCACGGTGTCTCAAACTTATTGAAGAAAATACTTAATTTGTGGAAGAGACTGCTGGAATAAATTCTTCTTATTGAAAAATATGTTGCCATCTCTTTTATTCATTGCTAGTGTTTTATTTGCGTGATATGCTTGGCAATGTAAAATATATGCCGGATATTCATACAATTTTTTTTTGTTTATTCAATTAATCTGTTCATTTTTGGTTCGGTTATTCATTAATCTGTATAAGTCGTCCATCGTTAGAAACGTCAGTATTTTTGACATATAATGTCAAAAAGTCAATCTGCAGAGGGCGCTGTTAATAGCTCAGCCACGTAAGTCAGGGTTGTATTTTTGTTCCCAAGAATATTAAAAAGACAAGAAGACAATTGAGAAGAGAAGATTTGTGAGGATGGTTTAATACTTTAAAAGTGTGTTTAAAGTTCTCTTGTGTATATATTTCATCTTTATTGCGGTAAGTTTATATTTCATTCTTGTTGGTTTCTGCCCTATTATGAGTGAATTAGCATGTTTTAATTAATCTATGACAATAATTATCAGATAAGATATTGTATTGGAGTTGTTGGACAAGCATCACATTACTATATTTGTAATATATTGTAAATAAAGGAATAACATTGTTTTCAGATTCATCAGCAATGTCGAATTTACCACCTAATCCTTACAATAGTAACACTGGGGCACCGTTTACGAACGCAAACCCAGGTCCTTCATTGTTTAGTCACAGCCAGCAGTTTAATCAGGCACCGATAAGCCAATTACCACCAGGTCAACTGCCACCTGGATATTCTGGAATAAAACAAGATACAAACTCAAATAGCCCTCTCCATGCTTATCAGAACAGTGGTCTGCAGAATATGAACAATTATAACCAAAGTGCAAGCAGTTCTCCTGCGTTTAATAATCCAGGGGCGGTAATGCCCCAGACAAGTCTGCAGTCATCACCAATGAGGCCACCTATAAAGCAAACTTCTATGGCTCCTAGTCCCAATTTTCAATCGGCAAGTCCAAGACCAGTTTCTAATGCTAACCCTTCACCATTACCTCCTCCAACTAATTTTCAAGCACAGTCAAGACAAATTAATGACAATGCACCACCTCTCAATCCTTCTAGTCAATATAATCAGCCTTTTGTGAATGGACCATCTATTGTTTCATCTCAGCGCCCTGTATCTCAGTCTCAGATCCCATATTCTGCACCATCAAGTACCTTTAATACTGCACCTAATGGTAATAGATCTCCCGCCAATTTTGGGCCACCCCCTATAAATTCAGCTTATGGGCCGCCTACATCAATACCTCCAGCATCATTAGCAAATCAACCAATTTCGGGACCACCAAGAAATGGCCCTCAGTTAACTGGACCTAATACAACAAGACCTCCACAATTAGCTACTTCAACTGGTCCTTCTCTACAACCTGGCTGGCCAGTGGGATTTAATGGTCCTAATTTTGGTCCACAACCAGGACCTCCTTCTGGGCCTCCAAGTGTTGTACCTGGAGGTGATCTGGGAAAAATGGCTCCTGTTAGCGGTCCCCTCACAGGACCTCTGATGAGTGCTGGTTCTATACAATCAAATCCTGGCCCTTATAAAAATGGACCTTCAGGTCTTAGTCAACCAGTGGGCTTTCCTGTTCCTCCTAGTAGTCAGGCCATATCACAACATAACTCTACTGGTCCATTAAATTTACCACCAAGATCCCAAGGTCTACCTTCTGGCCCCCATAGTTTGCCACCAATGGGAAATCCAATGGTTCCTCCGTCAATTGGACCACCAGGTTTCCCAAGTATTCCACCTGGTTTCTCGGGAGGACCACCTGGTCTCCCTACTGGACCGCCTGGTCCCCTTAATGGACCACCTGGTCTTCCTACTGGACCGCCAGGTCCCCCAACAGGACCTTCAGGTCTCCCAAGTGGACCTACAGGTCTCCCAAGTGGACCTCCAAGTCTTCCCACTGGACCTCCGGGTCTTCCATGTGGACCTACTGGTCTCCCAAGTGGACCTCCCAGTCTCCCCACTGGACCTCCCGGTCTCCCAAGTGGACCTACTGGTCTCCCAAGTGGACTAGCCAAGGGTAATATGCAGAGTCGGTATCCTCAGATGCAACAGACTAATTATATCAATCAGCAACCAATGCCAGCACAACATAACATAGGACGACAACCAATACAACAATATGGCGCACAAGGATTAACCCAGCAAATGGGTCAGTTGAGTGTGACAAAACAGGGTTATGATCAACTATGGGGCCACCAGATGATAGATCTCCTACAGTGCAGACAAGTTTTACCTGATTATCCAGAGGATCCACCAGAGATACGACTTGGGCCTCAGTTTGCTGAATCATCTAACTGCAGTCCAGAGTGAGTATATTTTTCTGTTGTAACTGCCTTAAGTTACTGCTTATAGGGAAGTGAAATTTATCTTTATTGATCACAGTGTGTAAACATCTGATGATAGCCTAAATCTAAACAAAATATGTAGGCTGTGTGTAGTATAGTGTATAGGATCTGATAAAAACCAGGAGCCATTAGTACATGAGTTTAAAATTGTGTTATAATAATTATTAGACTATGATTTTCTTGTAGAACTTCCCTGTTTTGAACTAACTTGATATTCTCCGAAGAGACTACAGTATGAAAAAGTTAATATAGGTAGTGTGTCTACATTTATTTATGCATATTGTTTATCTTTTATACTATACTACATTATACATTTCATAGATTAGTCTAGGGTCTAGTCTGAATTTAGATTGGACTTGTATTGGATTAGAATTGGACAATCAATCGGATACTCCGTTTGGTCCAAGATATCTAAATTTATGTCCTTCACAGATCTTCAAGACTTCCCTATATTCTAAGACTGTGAAATAGTATTTTCATGTCAACTGTGCATATTACTTACCAGATTACTTGTAGGATAATCAGTAACCAAGTCCAATATCCAATGAGTGCTAGGCATTGAACTTTGTGCACTCTACTGAGCTCTGATAAATCTGGCAAATTCTAGAGATATGGAGCGTTGGATTGTTTGAATATGTAACTTTACTTAATCCTGGAGTTGAATGAAAATTATTTGGTTTTCATATTAGAATGAGCTAGTTTGTATGTGTGATATCTGCAAGAAAATATTAAAATGATTAATTATAATAATAATAATAATCTCAGGATAATTCATACAGCGTCATCTAAAACCAAGTTAAGCTAAAGCTTGTGTTATGGGTACTAGACAAGTGATACAAATACATAGATATTTTATTTTTGTAAATACATACATGTTATAAATAGAAAACACCCAGACCAATACAAAAAATCATACTCATGAATATAAATGTTTGTGCCTTGCGAGGAATCGAACCCGCGACCATCGGACGCAAAGCGGTTGCTAGACCGCTAGACCGCCGAGGTCGTCAAATAATGAACGCTTATTGTACCTGGATATTTATCTTTATATTTGCTCAAACAAGTTACAATTTTTTATCAGTAATTAACTAGATACATATATAATATTACATTACAGAATTATTTTAAGGTAGTATTTATAAAGTATTAGAGTTGTTAAAATTATGCCTAAAATGAAAAAATAAATGCTTTACAACTTTACAATACTCCATCTGTATTATCTAAACGATTTTATACTTATAATGATTTTATGTTATTGTTAAATGAGTATTAAGATTTGTGCAGCTGTTGTCACAAAAGAAGTAATCATATCAGTATTTTTATGTAATGGCAGACAATGGTTGTAGTTATCAGAGAGATGATAATATCGTGTCCGATTGCATCATTGATAAAATGTAGTTGGGATTCAGAGTATAAATGTCCTGAATGAGATGACATCCAGCTGATAGAAAAATAATGTATTATTTGACATGTTTTATTGTATTTTATGGCTTCAGTATATATTAAAAAAGTCTCTTAAAATGATCTATAATAGATACTAGTTGAGCGGTTTTGGCGCTCATCCCGCCTTAATATCGGAGATGTTAAAACTGAGTTTGATAAATATCCAGTTGTTATTAAAAAAACAGTATGTCATATAGTACATAAAAATGTGTTCTTATCTCCTATAAGCAATCTCTTACAGACAACCCAGATAGATATTACCATTTCTAGAAATCTTTTTATGGAGAATATTCTTTACATTATCGTCAATCAAATAATATACTTTACAATTAACAACCATGCTATATAAAAGTACCTTGTATCGGTAGAAATAACATTGTTGTAGGCTACATTGTGTAATATAATAATAATAATTTAAATATTTCTTCTCACAAACATGATATTAAATACATATAGTATTTTTGTATAACACAATCCAAAAATTTACTATTACAATTACCGCTAGAAGCTGGTGTCTGAAATAGGTATAATATGTAATACATATTACCAGGCTCAGAATATGCATGTAATATAATTAACATTCAATAAAATATAATGCTAATTTTACACCATTTATTATTATTGTATAGATTGTGTTTTAATAATTATTTGTCTATGTCATTTACAGCATCTTCAGGTGTACGATAAACCGTATACCTGAAACAAATAAACTATTGGAAAAGTCGCGGTTGCCACTAGGAATATTGATTCATCCCTTCAAAGATTTGAATGTGAGTATTTTTGTTGAAATGATATTATGTTTATATCACACTTTAATTAATTGTAACTTTTTATTATCTCTGATAACCCATTGGTAATCACGAAGGAATGTAATATAAAAAAAAAACAATTGTAACAAGCATCAAAAATATTAATTTTTGTCAATCTGTCATACATTTTTTAATAGTCTGTATAGATCTGAAGTATACTGTAAAATGTTGTCTGTGTCTCATCTCAGTCTCACCAATTTCAGCCTATGATTAGAGTTAGAGAGATGCAGATGATTTTGTGTCAACTCTATGTGGCTGAAGTAAATCCATGTAACAATTATTTATTTGATTTGTATTATTTTAATTCTTATTACCATCAATCAATGTGAAAATCTTAGTTTAGTCGCTGAACGGAATACTAGGATTCCAAGCGACATCCTAGCTCTAGCTCTATTCATTGCTTGATGAAGCCTTATCGTCAGAGGCGAAATGTAGCGTAAATGTAGCTTACATGGGTGGAGATTCAATATCAGTGTAAAGTTGATCACCAATAGTGAAGATGGTTAGTTTGTGGTCTGACATGTTAACAGTAGCAGAATAAAACAAAATGATATTAAGCAATTACCAAATGACATCGCAAAACAACACCTAATTAGATAAAATATTCTTATAATAATATACAAAAAACCTGCGATGACACTAGGAGGCTTCTGCGCTTCTGGGAAGAGTTTGGCTGGCAACTTTAGTAGTAGTCTCGGCTGTTTTTTTTTGTGAATAATAGTGGAATGGTGCACCCGCCTGAGGTAGCGGTTTACGCTGGCGGTGCACCAGTGGAGGATGACAAGATGAGTATGAAGTCAGGTCAGTTAGCCCATTAGTTTAAATTCATGGCGAATTTACCACGATGGTTTTCACGGGGAATCGAGTGGAGGTCAACTTGACATAGTACATTGCTAGATGAGGTCATGAGTCCACATTACTAACGATCCCCTTCCCCCCTAGTCTCGGCTGTACAACACGGCACAAATGAGAGGCTGAGTACGGATAACGGAATCCGACTAACTTTACCAATATATAAAAGAGAAAGCTGTAATAATATTTATTTATTTGCAGCACTTGCCTGTGATTCAGTGTTCTACAATAGTTCGGTGTCGCGCGTGCCGCACCTATATCAACCCCTTCGTGTATTTTGTTGATTCGAAACGATGGAAGTGCAACCTCTGCTATAGAGTCAATGATTGTAAGTTTTTCACTCAAATATAATTCATTATATGAAGTTATACATAAACCAGTTGTTCATACTAAATATTATAAATATATAAATGACGGCCACCGTGGTCCTCGTAGTTTAGCACACTGCCTTACTTGAGACGGTTAACGGTCTGGATATTTTCTATGCATATTATGTATGTATTTACAAAAAGAAATGTATCCAGTATTTATATCAGTTGTCTAGTACCCAATACACAAAATCTGTTGAAAATGGGACTACATAGCGCTGTGTATATTGTCCAGGGTTATTGTTATAAAATTAGATGTAGATGTACATATTTAATTAGTAATTGTCTCACGTAAATTTCTCACAATTAATAATGTTTTTTACTTATATATACGATGGTTTATGGTTGTTTTATTTATTTTAGGTTCTAGACATGTAACATTTAATATATTTAAATCATTGTTAACTTTGTAGTGCCCGAAGAATTCCAATACGATCCAGTGAGTAAATCATATGGGGACCCGTGTCGGCGTCCGGAGATCAAGTCCGCCACGATAGAGTTCATAGCGCCCAGCGAGTACATGCTGAGGCCGCCGCAGCCTGCCGTCTACCTGTTCCTCTTGGACGTGTCTCAACTTGCACGAGAATCAGGCTACCTGCAGGTCAGTGGGCAATGAATGCTATTTGAAATGCAAGCCATGTATATAATAAAACCACCGTTTTTTATGTATCTATGTTTATATTATATATTTATATCCTCGCCTAGTAGTTTACCCTAAAAGTAAGGAGGTCCAATTTGCTTAACATATATTGGTACAGTAATAAAACTAGTATCTCATGTACCAGATATCTTCAGTAAACTTGATAGTATTTTTTAAAATTCATTCACTCTGTTCACTCAGTCTCATCATAAGAAGAATGAGCAATCGGAAGTAAAGCGGTGTGCTAAACTGCTAGACCACCGATACTGTCTGATCTGATAATATTTTCAGCATTATAAGATTTAGGTTAGTCTTTTTTTTTATACAAAAACATTCCTATGATTTATTAGATTTCCTATTCGTCATTTCCAGGTAGTATGTGACACGCTGAAGAATAACTTAGAGCAGCTGCCCGGCGATGCCCGCACACAAGTAGGCTTCATCTGTTTCGACGCACACATACACTTTTACTTCATGAGCGACGGCCTCACGCGGCCCAAGGAGATGACTGTTTTAGACATTGATGGTAAGAGATTCAAGGTTTATAATTTTGCGAATGTATTACTGTCTGTTGGACCACAAACAAGAATTTTAATTGAGGTTGTGGTTACTCTTTTGTCATTGGCAAAAGTTGAATGTATGAAACTGTTTGTTGAGGTGGTCCATCTATACTAATGAATCACATTTCCCTCCCGGTTTGCCAACTTGTTCCGCAAGATACCTTTCTAGAAGGAGATTGCCAATGCACTTGGACCATGTAGTTGATAGTAGTATGTTAAGAGTTTTTTTTATTGATTATAATGGAATGGTGCACCCGCCTGCGCTAACAGTTTACGCTCGTGGGGCACCAGTGGAGGATAAGTATGGTGTCCGTTCAGTTAGCCCATCATGACATATTCAACAGGAGCTTATCACATGGAAGTCAACTTGACACAGTATATTGCTAGCAATGGGTTTGTAGCATCATACGCTAACTGCTAGTTTAACGCGAGCGCCTTGCTTATATAATCTTGGTGCGACCGGGAGCGCGCTTGTATTGCTGTCTCACTTTCTCACTCTCTGCATTACCTGATTAGATGTCCACAAATACGATCAAGATAGTGGTTTCATTACTATGTATATTGAGCCACTATACTATAGTCTACATTACTAATAATCCCATCGCCTCCTATGTTAAAAGATTGTTATGATATTTAAATGATGAATTGTATTGTTAAGACGTGTTCCTGCCGTCTCCCGAGTCGCTGCTGGTGAACTTGGGCGAGCGGCGTGAGCTCATCAAGGAGTTGCTGACTGTACTACCACAGCGGCACTCCACTCCTGGAGTGGCAGCTTCAGCGCTCGGTGCAGCGCTGCAGGCAGCCTACAAGCTGATGGTGAGTGATACTGGATCTATTCAGCATTTGTAAATTTAATAGAACGGCCTCAGTGGTACAGCGGTTTTGGAAAGAAAAAATATGTATAATAAAATATTCGTGTAAAACACACTTAGGTATCCGTGTTATAATATAATGTTATATGATCAATACCCAAGATTTATGTGATCTTTTTGTTCTAGGCTCCAACTGGAGGTCGCATCACTGTATTCCAAACTTGTCTTCCTAACATTGGACCTGGAGCATTACAATCACGGTAAGTTTATTTTATTGCACGCAACTTAATATTGTTTCATTATTCACCCATATTATACTTTTGCTTTAAAGTCTCACATACAACAAAGTAAAAACTACGGAATCGGAAATTCATATTTTTAGTACATGCTTTAAATTCGATAGTCATGGGTTCGATTTTATATCGTCGATGTTAGTTAGATACTTACACATCTACTCATGAGCATGATTGTTGTATTTTCTGTTTCTATGTATATTTGGTCTTGTTGTCACTTCACAGACACTATATCGTGTACATCGTATTTCATAATGAACTTAAGAGTATATTATCCAAAGTGCTTTAAAACATTAGTATTTGATATTTTGTTTCTTTGTCATTTTCAGTAATAAAATATTTATTGATAGATAAGTTATTACTTATTATTTAATTGATTGATTAATATTGTTCCGTTTCTTTACTCCCAGCTTGTACTTTTTGAACTGTGTTAAGATCTTTCCATCTTGGTCTTTCTTTTGTTGTTTGTTAGAGACACGAAAATGAACCCAAAAAACCCAATAGGAAGATGACGCAAAAAGAACAACAGGAAAATTATGGTACAGAATAACAAAAGATAGACCGAAATGGAGAGATCTTAAAAATAAATCGTGTGAGATTTAGTAGAACGATCTGTAGTATAAAGAAAATGAATTCCCTCATCTTATTTTCCTTGTCTTGCTACTACGATACCGGTCTCTCAGGTACTGTGGTATAAACAAAAGTAATTGTTCGCAGCGAGGATCCGAACGCGCGGTCCGCGAAGGAGGTGGCGCACTTGAGTCCGGCGACCGACTTCTACAAGCGACTGGCGCTCGACTGCAGCGGCGCGCAGGTGGCCGTCGATCTCTTCCTCCTCAACTCGCAGTATGCGGACCTTGCCACGCTTAGTGAGTATCCTTTTTTTAAAGGTTAACTTTTAGTGTTTATATCTGTTTATGAGTTACAATCTCGTGTCCTACTCTCAAAAAACGACAAGTGCTAACAGGTGGACTGGTAGTATAAATGTATTGTGTTGTTCGCAGGCGGCATGAGCAAATTCAGCGCGGGCTCGGTGTACCAGGTGGCGATGTTCCGGGGCGACCGCACGTGGCAGGCGGCCGGGCTGGTGCGACAACTCACGCGCTACCTCACCAGAAAGATCGGCTTCGAGGCCGTCATGAGGGTCCGCTGCACCAGGTACACTATACACTACCACACTCATTACTTCATTTTTTTTTATTACTTTCATCACACATAGATTGATTTTTATTTTATTTACATGAACATTCATTAGGTTACTGGAACCCTATGATTATAAATGTTTGTAGCATGCGAGGAATCAAACTGGCGACCATCGGAGGTAAGGCGGTGTGCTAAGCCGTTAGACAACCGAATTCACCACCACCGAAGAAATTAAATATATAGTAATATGTATATGTTATAATAATATTAGAGATTATTTTATGGAAGGTGGTACATATGACATATGAATGTGTATTTACATGGATTGAATGTGGTTATCATCATAGGCAGAGGTAGGTCCAAAAAGAGATGGGTGGACTGTATGAGAGATGTAATGGCATGAATGGGAGTAATTAATGAGATGACTGTGAACAGGGATGAATGAAGAGAAAAACATATTACATCAACCCTAAATAAGGGGGATAAGGAAGAAGCAGATGATGAATTGATGATGATGATGGTGATGATAATCTATACATATAAATAAAATTAGAGTGTCTGTTTGTAATATTGAAATAACCTGTTGTTACTACATCCATATGAATATAAATACGGTACATACACCATAATAACATTTTTACAATTTCGGTCTGTCTGTTTTTCCGGCTAATCTCTGAAATGGCCGGACCAATTTTGACGGGACTTTTTTTGGCAGGTAGCTGATGTAATAAGGCGTAACTTAGGCTAATTTTATTTTTGAAAAATAAAATAAAATTCCACGTAGACTATGTCGCGGTAACAGCTATTATTATAATAATAATATACTATATTAACCAACAGGGGTATATCGATCCACACATTCCATGGCAATTTCTTCGTGCGCTCAACGGATCTGTTATCTCTACCGAATGTATCACCTGACGCCGGCTTTGGAATGCAGCTCAGTATTGAGGAGTCACTTGCTGATCTCCAACAGGTCTGCTTTCAGGCTGCCCTACTGTATACTAGTAGTAAAGGTCAGTATAACCACATCAAAGAATGCTAATATATTAAATAGCCTATTTTGCTTTAGTATTAATTGTATTATGGCTATTAGTGGGTTTCTTTTCAGTTTTTCTCAGTTCGAATGTACTCCGAACTGACGGTAGATTTGACATATCATAAGAGTCTGTAATAGACCTACATGAATAAACATATTTTGATATGAATGATTGATTAAAGTTTTTACTAATGTTATAGGAAAGGCAAACAGCCGACTGCTCACTTGATAGTAAGCTAAACCTGTATCATGTAGGTCCTACATGCACGATGAACTATGAAGCACTATGCACATCACATTATCACGTGACATCCTTAATACAACTCATGCGTTGCCATGCCAGAGAACTAAGATGTCATAAGATGCCTCTCATTCTCAGTAAATTTACTGAAAAGAAAAGGCAGTAACACAGCTTTCAAAGCAAGCTGCTTGGCGGCTGAAGTAGGTAACACAGAGTTTGTATGCGTGGGTGCAGACGATTCTTTACAGTTTACTGATTGGAATTGTTGTTTAAAGAAATATTTTTTTTATCACCTATGAGGCGATTTAACGGGCATGAGTGAAACCAAATGATGTGTTATTATAGGAGAGAGACGTATTCGCGTGCATACCCTGGCGTTGCCGCTAGCGAGTAATCTACCCGATGTGTTGCACTCTGCCGACCAGGCCTGCATCATAGGTCTACTGGCCAAGATGGGTAAGTACACAAATTTTTATTCTGTGTTTAATCTTGTATAAATTCAGTTGTTTATTTTTGTCACTAGATGTCGTTGTTAAATTTTTACAAGGTGCTAATTTTTCGTTTTCGACTAAGGTATAAATTGTGGCATGTTGTTAATTTCCCTTCGAATCGATCCTCGTCCAGTTTATTACGACTACGAATTCGAACGTCGAATTTCGACAGGCGGGAGTAGGCTTTCAACCGCTTCATAAGTTCTTCCGCGGGTTAGATTAGAGTAGTCCGAAAAGAAATATATTGATTTTACTTGTGGACATTGATAACGTGTCGTGGTAATCGCACTCCCATGGTCTCGGTCCTCGGCGTCCGAGTAGAGTACAAAAGAATCGGTGTATTGCAGCCGTGGACCGGTGCGTGAGCGCGAGCATGTCGGAGGCGAAGGAGGCGCTCATCAACGTGGCCGTGGACGCGCTGTCGGCGCACCGCCTCGCGCAGAACCTGCCGCCCGGCGCCGCCAGCCCCGCCCTGCACGCGCCCGCCGCGCTGCGCCTGCTGCCGCTGTACCTGCTGGCGCTGCTCAAGCGGGTACGCCCCCGTCTGTACTCTAGTGCTGGTCTCCAGCCCCGCCCTGCACGCGCCCGCCGCGCTGCGCCTGCTGCCGCTGTACCTGCTGGCGCTGCTCAAGCGGGTACGCCCCCGTCTGTACTCTAGTGCTGGTCTCCAGCCCCGCCCTGCACGCGCCCGCCGCGCTGCGCCTGCTGCCGCTGTACCTGCTGGCGCTGCTCAAGCGGGTACGCCCCCGTCTGTACTCTAGTGCTGGTCTCCAGCCCCGCCCTGCACGCGCCCGCCGCGCTGCGCCTGCTGCCGCTGTACCTGCTGGCGCTGCTCAAGCGGGTACGCCCCCGTCTGTACTCTAGTGCTGGTCTCCAGCCCCGCCCTGCACGCGCCCGCCGCGCTGCGCCTGCTGCCGCTGTACCTGCTGGCGCTGCTCAAGCGGGTACGCCCCCGTCTGTACTCTAGTGCTGGTCTCCAGCCCCGCCCTGCACGCGCCCGCCGCGCTGCGCCTGCTGCCGCTGTACCTGCTGTACTGGCGTTCCTAAATTAAATACAAGGATATATTTATTTCCTTATTTCTGTCATTTGAACGAATGACTGGACATCCATTACTCAAGTTGTAGTGACTAGTCCGCTGTGACTGATAAATTTTGCTACTAAATTGAATATTTAATATAGTCCTTGAAAAAAATTGTGCACTTGTAAGACTATTTCTATTGCATTAAACTCTGTATGTATTGTTAGTATCCGTAAATAATAAGTATTTCTTTTATACAGAAAGCATTCCGCACGGGCGTCTCGACAAGGCTGGACGAGCGCGTGTCGGACATGTGCGACATGAAAACGATGCCGTTGTCGCAGCTGCTGCGCGCTGTGTACCCCGACCTGTATGCGCTGCATACGCTACACGAGTACTTGGACCCCAAAGATCCCTACGACCCTCACGACATCTGCGATATGCCAGCTGTGGATGAAGATCCAGCACCGGATCCGCCGCGGATGCATCTCACCGCTGAAAGGTTTTCGATTCATATCCGTTTTAACAACTTAATTAAACATTCAAAAGTGTTTGGAATTGATTTGATCATTGATTTTCCCGTAGGAGTTGTTGTAATAATTAATTATTAAAAAAAGATGCTATAGCAGTCACGATTGACACATGAATGTGCGCGCGGTGTTTCGCGTTCTCTTTGTCTATATTTACATATATAATTTTTCTCGCATTAAAGTCAATTCTAGCGTGGAAAGAGCGTATGTGCAAAAGCAGCTAATGACAAGTCGATCGGTGCAGGATAAACTCTAACGGCGCGTACCTGCTGGACGACGGCGAGACGATGATCGTGTACGTGGGACACGCGGTGGGCGGCGGATACCTCTCGGAGACGTTCGGTGTGACCGCGCACAGCCAGCTGGCGGACGAGGCGCGCAGCCTGCCGCGGCTGCCCACGCGCGGCAGTGCGCTGCTGCACGCCTTCATCGACCGCCTCAACGAGGAGCGGCCCTACGCGGCCGGCGTGCTCGTCCTGAGGTCAGTCAGTCAGTCAGTCAGTCAGTCAGTCAGTCAGTCACACACCAGCTGGCGGACGAGGCGCGCAGCCTGCCGCGGCTGCCCACGCGCGGCAGTGCGCTGCTGCACGCCTTCATCGACCGCCTCAACGAGGAGCGGCCCTACGCGGCCGGCGTGCTCGTCCTGAGGTCAGTCAGTCAGTCAGTCAGTCAGTCAGTCAGTCAGTCAGTCACACACCAGCTGGCGGACGAGGCGCGCAGCCTGCCGCGGCTGCCCACGCGCGGCGTGCGCTGCTGCACGCCTTCATCGACCGCCTCAACGAGGAGCGGACATCCTACGCGGCCGGCGTGCTCGTCCTGAGCTCACTAAATCAATCATTCAATCATAGTCCTCACACACCAGCTGGCGGACGAGGCGCGCAAACTCCGCGGTATGCCCACGCGCGGCAAATAATAAGTGCTGCTTTCATCGACCGCCCGCGGGAGTCTCGACCCTACGCGCCGGCGTGTCGTCCTGAGGTCATGTGCGACATGAAACACACCAGCTGGCGGACGAGGCGCGCAGCTGCCGCGGCTGCCCACGCGCGGCACGCTGCTGCGCCTTCATCGACCGCCTCAACGAGGAGCGGCCCTACGCGGCCGGCGTGCTCGTCCCCAGGTCAGTCAGTCAGTCAGTCAGTCAGTCAGTCACGTCAGTCACACACCAGCTGGCGGATGAGGCGCGCAGCCCGCCGCGGCTGCCCACGCGCGGCAGTGCGCTGCTGCACGCCTTCATCGACCGCCTCAACGAGGAAACATTCAAACGCGGCCGGCGTGCTCGTCCTGATTTCCCGTAGGAGTCAGTCAGTCATAATTCAGTCATTCAAAACACACCAGCTGGCGGACGAGGCGCGCATTGACACATGCCGCGGCTGCCCACGCGCGGCAGTGCGCTGCTGCTTTGCCTTCATCGACCGCCTCAATAATTTTTCTCGTCCTGAAAGTCAATTCAGTCGTGGAAAGAGCGTATGTCAGCACAACCAGCTGGCGGACGAGTCGCGCAGTGCAGGATAAACCAACGCGCGCGTACGCTGCTGCACGCCTTCATCGACCGATCAACGAGTACGTGGGACTACGCGGCCGGCGTGCTCGTCCGGAGACGTCGGTCAGACCGCACACACCAGCTGGCGGACGAGGCGCGCAGCCTGCCGCGGCTGCCCACGCGCGGCAGTGCGCTGCTGCACGCCTTCATCGACCGCCTCAACGAGGAGCGGCCCTACGCGGCCGGCGTGCTCGTCCTGAGGTCAGTCAGTCAGTCAGTCAGTCAGTCAGTCAGTCAGTCAGTCACACACCAGCTGGCGGACGAGGCGCGCAGCCTGCCGCGGCTGCCCACGCGCGGCAGTGCGCTGCTGCACGCCTTCATCGACCGCCTCAACGAGGAGCGGCCCTACGCGGCCGGCGTGCTCGTCCTGAGGTCAGTCAGTCAGTCAGTCAGTCAGTCAGTCACACACCAGCTGGCGGACGAGGCGCGCAGCCTGCCGCGGCTGCCCACGCGCGGCAGTGCGCTGCTGCACGCCTTCATCGACCGCCTCAACGAGGAGCGGCCCTACGCGGCCGGCGTGCTCGTCCTGAGGTCAGTCAGTCAGTCAGTCAGTCAGTCAGTCACACACCAGCTGTGTTGTCAATTATATATAATATAGTTGCCAATAATATTATTACCTGGAGATAATACCTAATATCTATCTATACACAAAAAAAATACAAATAAAGAAAAAAAAATATATAATATTAGTGTGATCTGCCTGGTTCGGTATATATAGTAATACAAACTGAAACCAGGAAACATGATCGTCAATCTGTTATATATCTGTTTCTATATTTATTACAGGGACAATTCACCAACCCGTTCGTTATTCACGGACCGACTACTAGACGACCGCGTTGAGTCCGCTTTCTCCTACTACGAGTTCTTACAGCACGTGAAAACCCAAGTGAAATGAGTGTCGAGTGATAAGCCAGTGACTTTTATAACGGACTCGCCCACTCAGCGGCTCGAGGTGACAAACAGACGGTAGTGAAGACTCGACGCCACATATGTGTCACTGCCCTAGGTTTGATAAGTAATTTACGAGTTGTGTTGTACGCTTATTGATAAATTCCAAAATTATAAATTATGAAAATTCAACCTTATACAAAAGTCGATTTTTCTAAATTATTATTTTTTGGGTTAAAGCAGTTTATTTATTTATTGAGCGTTCGATGTACTCTACGATACAGTTCGAAAATAATATATTTACGCAATTATAAAAAGTTTACTACCATGTAAATAGTTTATTTATATACACTAGTTGTTACCCGCAACTTTATACCCATAGCAATAGTACTCAATTTACTATCTATTTTGAAAATTGTAGGTTAAATTATTCTATGTCATTCTTCAAGATTCAAACTATCGCTGCACGAAAATTCAATACAAATGGTTTATTAGTTTAGGAGTTAATATGTAACAGACCCTTAGTAATATTAGTAAATGCTAGCTGAGCCAACGCCCTCGTCCAATGAATTTGAAATGAAGCAAAGACTAAATTTTAAGCGAAATATATGATACATTAGTGAAAACTACACTCAAGTCGGTTAAGTCATTTCTGAGATAAGCGCGCACAAAGAAACAGATGAAAAATATAAAAATCATTTTGTACTCTATTACGTTTAAAGTCCCCCAATAACAGTTTTTCATTTAATCTTCTACGTGCAGACAGCAATCGGTTACATAAGTAGTTATATAATAATTATTTTATAATATACATATATATGTAAGTCGTGAATGGTTAAGGAATTAACAACACGTTACTTCCGTTGTAATACGTTGTAATGGTATATAGCTATATGGTAGGGGATCGGACAGTGGTAATGGTTTCGAATTGGTATATACATATGTTACTTAGATACTTTTTTTACCCAAATACAGATTAATTCTAAACAGTAAAAATTGTTTGTTTTTGAAAAGTGGAAAAACGTCTTGTAATAATGGTTTCATATTTTGATTTGCCGTAATGGTTTCATACGTTTAATTTGTTTAGAAATATGCAGTGTGTTGTTTTGTTTCTAACAATACTATAAACCGATAAAATCTAAGTGCCACGATACAATAGTATACTTCCGCCTTAATGCAGACAATAACAGCTGTAAGTACACAGCATCCGTAACCATATCTTCCTGAAACGAAACCCTCCTTTTCATGAAAATATGGTTATGATATTTTCATGAAATAGTTACTGAGGCTAATAAAATTATTTAAATCCAAAGATTTGGTATTTATTATATATTATATCACATATTATAATAAATGACTGGCAGTTACACTAATATGTTAGGAAAGGCCGACAGATGTCACTAGCTGCTTTTTTCTCATATTTTCAAAAGAGAGGAGGGCAGTATTACGAGGCGAGATTTACTGGTATTATAAAATTAGCCATGAATTTTCTTTGTTATAAATAAATGTTATAGTATTTATTCACTATAGTGAATATATATATAATGTCTATTTTTTCCTAACGCTACCGCACTTAGTAAGTGTTTTAGTAGTTAGCACTTTAGTTTTGTTTCTTTATCCATTATTTTATATTTCCGTATAATTTGTAAACATGTCGATATGATCTTATATCCAAATATCGAATGAAAATATTAATTCATATTGTACATTATTTAGGTATGAAATTAAATTTAATGCAAATTAAAAATTTACACACGGCTCTAAAATTGGTAGCGACATTGTTTGGGAGAGTCTTAGATCGCTTCTTTATTATTATATTAATACGCGAAGTAAAAGTTTGTAACCCTTTTTACGAAAATTGCGCGGAAAATTTAGAGTATAAAATATTCACACATTTAGTTTATATAGAGAAAGAGTGCAGAATGCTCATATTTTCTTAAATTATGCATTAAAAATACATGGAATCAATAAAAAACATTACACACGCTTTTATTTTTTGCGAATAGATTAATATTATTTGTCTATAGTCTTACTGAATGTTAAATTTATTATAGTTGAATTTCGACCACTGGTTTTTATGAGGCCATCGGGCAATTTTAGGACCGTATGTAGACGGTTTAAGTAATATTTTCTGCAATCGACCCACCTAATGGAAAACTGTAACCATAGTTTTGATCATCACATATTTCTATATTTTTGATGTCTATCTTTTACATATTTTGATTGTATTGGAATGTTGGGAACGAGAAACTGAGTGCATTTTATAATTATTACGTTTATAAATGTAACTTATTCGTAAAAATGGATAATGTCAAATTATAGAAGCAAGTTGTCATTTTCTTTCATATGGAGAAAAGTCTATATGGAGCTAAAGTCGTATTCGTCAGACAGGAGTTGGCAGTCAGCAGCTCCATATGCCCTTCCGTAGCTTTGGAGTAACCTCATTTTCGTCTGTAAAGGCCAATTACGACCAGTATTAAAACCAGTTCGGAAAAAGAAAGGAAGGAAAGGTTTAATAGACGTTTTACATTTTTATGAATATAGTGCATAATAATCTAGTAATGCGTTATAACGCAAGGTTATGAATAAGAATGCTGAATAAAAACATAGTTTTTTTTTGTATGTAATAATAAAATATTGTGATTTTAGTTAGCATTGAATAGGGGTTTATTTATTCAGCATTCTTGTGGCCGCTTATCTCATGGTCGCCTACATTAGGTACATTGTTATATTGTGTATAATAAATGTTTTTTTTTGTTTAGTTTTAAATTTCGAATCTAGGGCACGTCGACACACAGGCCATAGAGAATATCTCTATTTATTTTTAATTGACGCAATAAAAGTTTTTGTATTTTTATTGTAATGTATTAGATGTATGTATATACACTGTTGATGCACACTGACAATATGGCGCGAAAATATGTTCGAATTTTAAATAAATGCCGTGAAATATTATACATAGTATAGTATGACGTCATAAAATGCCACGGCACTGCTTGTGACTATCAGATACGAATGTTAAGGGTATTGTAATAAGGTTTAGAATGGTTTGAGCTATTAATCGTTTGCCGTGCCATCCTGTGCCGTCATGTCAGTGAGCGCCGACGTTAGTCCTAAAACGTATACGAGGGTCAAACTGAAAGTTCTTAGAAAATCAAAAACTGATTAAATTAGCAAGTTATTACCTTTATTTTATCTTTTCAAAATAGTGTCCATTCACGTCAATACATCGCTGCATACGATAGAACCACTGAGAAAAGCACTTTGCCCACTCGTCCTTAGGGGTCTCTTTGACGGCCTTCTAAAACGTAGCCACCGAATCCTCGGCGTCCATAAAACGTTTTCCTCGAACTTTTTCTTTCATTTTTCGGAATAAATAAAAATCGCAAGGTACGAGGTCGGAGCTATAAGGCGAATGACCCAGTGGTTCTACGTCTGAGGTCGCCAAATAATCGATCATTTGCCTGGCGGTGTGCGACGAAGCATTGTCGTGGTGAAGGAGGATCCTACTGCGAGGTCGTTTCTCACGCACTTTTTTCAAAACACGTGGCAAACAATTGTTACTGTACCACTCTGCAGTAACTGTTTTTCGATCCTCTAAAACAATTGTCGCGTAATGACCTGTTCTTCCAAAGAACGAGGCCAATATCTTTTTTCCTATGCTTCGACCTCCCTTCACTTTAGTTGGCAACTCCTCAGAAGGAAACACCCACTGAGCTGACTGTCTTTTAGTTTCGGGATCATAACAGTAAATCCAGCTTTCGTCTCCCATAACTATGTTAAACACAGAATTTGAGTCACCTCCGTTAAATCTTTCATGCATTTCACGGCACCAAGCAACCCGACGGAGTTTTTGAGCCTCAGTGAAATTATAAGGTATCCACCGGGCACAAGGCTTCCTGACCGCCAAATGTCTATGGAGGATTTTGTGCACTTGACTCATACCAATCTTTAAGCTTGCCCCGATCTGCTGATAGGTCACTCTTTTGTCAGTCTCTATCATACGCCGCACAACACGGATGTTATCTTCGGTTGTCGCCGTAGAAGGCCGTCCCTCACGCAAATCATCGGTGAGATTAGTGCGACCACGTTTAAACTCATTAAACCAGTTGTAAACAGTGGCACGAGACGGGGCTTCATCGTGGAAGTCCAATAGTAGTCTATCATAACTTTCTTGTTGACTTAGATGACATCGAAAGTCATAAAAAATCATCACACGAAAATTTTCTCGTATTAAGTTCATGATAACGTTACACAGACTATTTTCAATTTGCCGCCAAACCGTAAAACACATGACATACGAATAAATTATATACTCAGTACTATTCGTAAAGAGTTCCATTTTCAAAATTTTAACATTTTTTTTTATTATATTGCTCTCAAGTAGCCAGTTCTAAAAACTTTCAGTGTAGCCCTCGTATCGTCATTATTTGATATTCCATTGTAAATTAAATTAGAATTATTTATCAAATTATAGGTAGAATGTTTTGTACTGAATTGAGCTCGGTTCAACTTTCATTATTCGTGCATACGGCCAAAATCGGTTTTATTTTTTAATTAAGGTGAAGATTTTGTGTATTCGCTGTTGTTTTTAATTTTGTCAATTGTTATATGAAACATGTACAATGTACATATGTGGAAATCAGTTAGGGACCTTTTCCACAGTAGAAAAAGTGCAGCGCTCTTTGTTTATGTGTATGTAATATAATCACATCGGTTTTCCACTAAATACGTGTTTAACATTTAGAGTGATTTTAATATAGTGTTAAACATTACAAACATATGTATATAAAAAAATATTTTCAAGGGATTTAAAAAAAACGGTTCTCAACACTATATTTTCTTTATGTCTCAGAACTTTATATTGCGTGAAGCGTGATGAGCATGCAATGGGAAAAAAAGTACGAACAAACAAATATTTTATTTTTATTATGAGATATCAAAAACATGTCAAAGTATTTTAGTGGAAATACGGTGAAAAGTGGTATATAACATTCATATTTACATTGCTAGCCGCACACTGCAGTGGTGCAGCGATCGTCGTGGATCGTGTAAAAGAGCCTTTACATTCAATGGACTGTTTCATATGTAGTCTAGTAGAGAAGTCACCAAAAACATGTTACCATACACATTTGCAGGCGTTATGCAATATGGTTAGTGGAAGCAATAAAAATAGAGTAGATATATACCGGAAATAATTCATTATTAGGCTGTGTAATGAAACACTGGGATGTAGTGTTTGGATTGGTTTGGACATGTTCTCATTATGAGCCATCTGAGTTAATAAAAAATAAAATATTAGAAATTTAACTCTGTATGGATAGGTACAGAGTACATTTTCTAATATTATATTTTTTTTATGTTGAATTGGTTACAATTGAAAATCTATAGCTATACTTACTATAATGATGTCCAATTGCAGTCTAAGTTGTCTATGGTTAAGATTTATTGCATTTTAATACAATAACGAATAATTACGATTGTGAAACGTAATATTGATATAGTCTAATATCGAAACTGTAATAGCACTCTCTCATCTCTAAAAAATTTAAATTTAGAGAACATTGTTTTAGAACCGATTCTATCATGTATTAAATGTTTTGAATTAGATTAATTTCGTCCTACAAACGCTAATCCGTTTCAAAACATCTCATATTAAGTAAGTTTTATTTGATTTGTAATTTAATAACATTTTCTTAGAATATGTTTTTGGATAGAAACGAAAGGATTAGATTTTTTACTTATAGCCGTCATGTTTATCACAATTTCGTAGATTTATTTTCTAAATATACAGCAGTTTAGCGTTTGTAGTGCGGTACAGTAATTGTGATTTTTATAACATTTTCTATATTTAAATGTTATTGCTGTCTCAGTGCAGTACTGTGTACAGAATAAACTAGTTTAATTTGCCGGAACAGCTGCAAATCCGTCAATGATAGTTTCATAAACAGTGACAAAATGTATGACTGATAAGACAGATTAATATAATAAAATTGTATTAATTTAATAGCATCTGTTAGCGGACTGAATTCAAGAGCCTTGTAACTTGTTTCAATATAACGAATCTAAAATCATACTTCTTTTATTTGGCACCCTACATCTATATAAATCATTAATTTTTAATTATTTTTTTAATAGATGATAATGGTTTGGTTCACACGCCTGCGCTAACGGTTTACGCTGGGGTACTAGTGGAGGATGATAGGATGAGCATGAGGTCAGCCCATCGGTAAATTTATCACATCAGTTTCCAGGCGGAACCGCGTGGAGGTTAAGCTGACATGGTACATTGCTAGCAATAGTTCACATTACTAACAATTCCCTCCCCCCTCCCCCCAATTATATTTCATTAAATATAACAGTTGATTGGTAAGTTGTTAATGTGTAAACTAATTTCTACATTTATATTAATACTAGCTGTCCCGGCAAACGTTTTGCCATACAAATTAAAAAATACGGGTTGATGCTAGAAGGGTGAAAATTTAGGGTTGTATGTATTTTTCAATCCTAAATAAAAATAAAATATGTCGAATAAATAAAGAAATATATTTAGGGGTGGATATCGCTTATCACTTAGGGGTATGAAAAATAGATAGTAGCCGATTCTCAGACCAGTAGGTATGATTGTCTATTTAAATTTTATATGAATATGCATATAACATTTCATAAAAATCGATCAAGCCGTTTGGGAGGAGTATGGTAATTGGTAACTAACATTGTGATACGAGAATTTTATATATAAGAATTAAATTTTACATTTAGGATAGAAAATAGAAATTCAAATTTATTTGAAAAAGATTAATAATAATAAATCTATTTATTGCCAATAATAATATCCCTGGACGATTTACACAACGCCATCTAATCCCACGGTAAGCAGAGCTTGTGTTATGGATACTAGACAACTGATATAAATATAAAGATATATTTTTTGTAAAAACATATCTCATGAATACAATGTTATTGGCAAATGTCCAGCAATAAAGAAAAAAAAAATAAGCTGTAAACAATCAATACCTTTTCCGTCTAAAAATATTAGACTGTTTATTTTTTATTAAGTCTGGTAAGGGAATAAACAATAATGATAACATGACTTTCCATGTCATTTAAATAATTTTGATAGAGATTTATTTTACAACGAATATTTTATATTATAAATAGGTATTATTTTAATGAAGAAATTGTGTTAAATCCTACTGTCTCAAAACATGTCCTTTCAGTATGTGACTATTTATTATGGACCGTGTGATTCTTTTAATACTGTTATACATAAACCGCAGAAATTAAGAGGTTTAAGAGGTAAATATACTGACTTCTTTCCGCTCTGATTAACACTGTCCCATTTCAACTGGGATTGGAATGACAATAGACTGAATTGAGGTTAGAACCTTAAGCAGTGCATTCAAATCAAGATCCATCGGGCAACTGCGCCACTAGTATCTACAGTTTCACCGGACGATAGGGGGCGAGTGCAGATGGCAATCCAAACCCGCAGGACTTATGGAGCGGCTGAAGATTAAATCCCGCCTGATTGATACAACTTTAGTCTTATGATACTGCTAGGGGTTGGAACCTCAGCTCAGGCCGTCGTAATTTCGATCCCCGTTTGAATTGGACGGGGCATCGATGCCCCGTCAGAAGGGTGTAGTCGAGTATAAGGATATGCATATACAGTGGACCCGCGGTAATCCGGCCCCTGTCTAATCCGGCCCCCCTTGTAATCCGACATTGTCTATTATTTGTTATTGAATATTACTTTGACAATATACTTCAGAGTGCATATACATACATACATATATAACATAGAATCTTATCACTGGATCTGTAATTTGTCGGATTACAAGATACTCTTTTGTAAAAAATTCCGGACTATAAGCAGAGGACCCTTAAGCAGCACTATAATCCGACAAATACGATGGTCCGACACTGCCCTGCAAAACGTTTGTCGGATAACCGGGGGTCCACTGTATATGTATATAATACAAAGAATCATCATTGGATCTATAATTTGTCGGACTACAAGGTACTCTTTTGTAAAAAAATTCGGACTATAAGGGGTCTTAGGCAGTACTCTATAATCCGACAAATTCGATAGTCCGACAATGCCCTGCAAAATGATTGTCGGACTACCGGGGGTCCACTGTAAAACGAAATATACAGAATTAGGTTTATCTTAGAAAACGTTACTTCACAGATCACCTGCTGAAACTTGGATACCGTGTAGATTATGTTCCTGTACAGTTTGTGAACTATTGCATGTTGGAAATGTGCGGACATGAGGTATTGTACTAGTGTACTTAGTTTCTTAAGATCCTATTGTTGATTAGATATAACTTCTTCATATTAAAATAATATCCATTCCTATACAACTCTTGTGCAAATTAAAAGTGTATGTAAAATACCATTTGTGCCCATATATTAAGGACATATAGCTACTTGATATAAATGTAGTGTAATAAAACAATATAGAGCACATTACTGTTACCAGAATAAGTATATATATAAATGTATAGTGGTAACAGTCTATATATATCTATATATCATATAAAGAGTAGATTACTCTAGCTATATTTAAAAATGTATGCAGTAGGTACGAGGTCTGCTTAATTTGGCACTAGATGACGCTAAGAAAATAATTATCCTGGGTTATTATTATTTCAGCAGCTAACGATTTACATAACTTATTATGAATTTATACTACTTAATATGTAATTCTAATGAATTATTCGGTTTAAGGTGTTTCGCTGCAACATTCAAAATCTATCCTTCAATACACCCTCTAACTTGGATCCTGTTTGCCAACGGGCTATCCAGGCAGTTGTGGATTCCACAGCGAAGTTCCTCAGAGCTCGCCGCTATCTTTGGTTCTGGAAATTACTTGAAGACCAGATATTTAAGAGAGGCGAATATTTACCTAAGAACTACTGGCCTGCTGAAACCGAGATAAAACCTTTCGCGAATTGTTTGGATTGTGTAAACTGTTGTGGTATTTTGGCGAGAAGAAAATAAGAGTAACGAGAATTGAAGATTCTTTTATGTACTGCTACTGCTACTGCTACTGCTATATACATATATATTTTGTGCAAAAGTTTAAATAAATAAATAATCAACTAATTTTCTTTTATATGTATTAATTATTATTAATAAGCTATTCTGTAATTACAGAGGCTCGTGGTAATTCTATAGCCTAAACGGTTAGGTCGTCGGTCTAACCGGGGCCTGATCTAACAAGATTTACTGCTTAAGTTGCTATTATGTTGTAGGTGAAAATTTACTGTATGGTTACTATCATGTTGTCTTACACAATTTGTATTGTTTTTGAATAAGTAAATAATTTAAATAATCAAATGTAACATCCATAAATATATAATCGCAGAACTATCAGTTCATTCAGTTTCAAACTACGATTGTTAGCAAATGGGTTACAAATGTCTGTTACAGGTCTTGTGGATTTCGCCAATGTTCATAATAAAATGACATCGTTTGAATTATTTAATTAATTTGTTTTATTCATAATAATACCTAAAACAAGAACGAGCGCTTTGTAAACAAAATAATCGTCACCGTCGGATTAAAATAACTTTGGAATGCCGGATATTGCAATCCCGCGCCGTCACTGGGTGCGGGAATCATTCGCAGGTGCCAGTAAGCGGTTGGATCACGTTCTGCTCGTACGCATTCATCGAGTCCCCATCGAATACAACTATCGATATTAAACACGATAATCACGATTTAATAAAAAGTGAAAAATACATTTCTTGTGAATTATACATGACTTGTGAGCAGTGAAATAACTTCAATTGAAATTTCGAAGATATTTAAAAGGGAACATTTTTAAAAGATGAAGGTTTTGACAGTTGATAAAGTGGCAAGTGTTGGAGAAGATAACGAGCCAACTGTCGTGGTGGAAAGTGCAAAGTTGACCAAAGAGGAATTAAATAGGTACATAAAATTTAAATTCAGGAGACATACGGGATATTCAAATTAATAATCGAAATAATTATTTAGGCAATCAATGTTTTTTTTAATGTAAACGGAAATTCATACAAAGTGACGGTCCAACTATTGGTAAATGGTAAAATACATGAAGTTATAGTGACCCCCGCGGTGCTGTAAAAAGATAATAGATAAAAAAGAAATTATTTAATAATATGAAATTAACAAGATATAAAATTTTGTATAATCTTAATGAATCGAAACATATAATCAACAATGGCGACTTAATAAAAGCAAACAACTACATCATAATAGTTAATAAAAATGGATAATAAAAACTACTACCGATAAATAATAACAATGCATGATTCAGAAGATGTTTAAGAAACAATTCGGGATATACACATGGAATCGAACAAGTTCGCTAGGTCAGATGGCGCTGGCAGATTGCCAGGTGACACAACCGCGTGGTATGTGATGTTTACGTGCCCAACGAATCGGCTTGTTGTCATACTTTGCCACTGGAATTCCGTATTTTTTTATTGTAATTCTGTTTTTTAACATTCTCTTTAAATATCTTCAGAAATTGCTAAAGTATTTATTAGTTTCAACTAGGAAAGAAATACAGTAACGATTATTTAAACAAGTTTGCAGTTGTCATCAGCAGTTAGTTTTTTCTTAAATTTTCGTCTGAAATGAAATTGATGATGTTATTTATCACAGAACAAATAGTATTAGTACATTAGAAATTTTGGCCTGCTTACAAGGCAGACTAAACCCGATCCGATAAATAAATCCCGATTCCGATCGATGTTTTGTGCCTATTACAAATTAATTTATGACGGTCTGAGTCTTGATTCCGTAGCGGTGTCCACAGACTAAAGTCGTAGCCGTCAGGGTGGCGCCGACTTTCAGTCAATCTATTAGTCCTTGCAAGGGTCGGAGAGTCGGGGTCAGTCGGGTCGGGGTGACCTATCCACTCTTCCCCTTTTTCGTCTGTTGAAACTCTTGAAATTAGCAATAACTTAGCGATCATGTCGTTTGACAGTTTCAATTACAATGGCCATTTCTGTGCTAGATTTGACCTGGGATTTTGCTAGATTTGGAGTTGATTTTTAGAGGACCGATTTTTAAGAAAATAACCTAGTCTAAGAAGTTACAGGAAATTAAATTGGCAAAACATTAAGAACGTGCGGGAACTTTTAAGACGTATCCTAACATTTTTGGAAATTTCTTACTTGAAATTTAAATTTCTATAAGTATTAATCTGGTTACCTTTTATTAACTGGGACATTATTTTTCAGAGGTTGTCCTCTTGGAGTCTCTCGGGTAACGAATTCAGTATACGTGTGTGGAGCACACGCCCTGCCTGGTGCAGTGAAAGCACTCCATCCAGGCCTGATCGTTAGTGCAGCCCCGGAACTGCCACCTCCACCTGAAGACGATGTACCAAGGCATTTTGTTCCACTCCTCGACACTCCTAATTCTGACATGCATCCTTATATGGAACGAGTTGCTAATCTGATTAATGAGGTGAGTTCAAATTTACGTACATCGATTGTGTAAAGATAAATAACCCTGGCTTCTATTACGGATACAGTCATACATGGAGTTGTATATATGAATTCATATATCATTCGGTTGCTATTACATGAGAGCGGTTTGTGGACTAAACGCTTAATTATGTAACACAATTATCAACATTTTGTATTCTGAAACAGTTCATTGCGATTGTGTGCAAACCGTTTCTTAGTAGCAGTAAAGTTGTTTGCAACTGCAACTGTTAAATAATATGTATAATATGTCCATATAAGTAAAACTGTAAAAATATAGATCTTCTTAAATTAATCAAACAATTTTTATATTCTTTGCTATAAATTGCTCGATCAAGTCTCGTGACATATGGTATAATTATGTAACAGGTAATGATAATATCTGTAAATTACTACAAGATTATAATTTTTACAATCCGAAATATGTGACTATCTAAACTATGTCAATGGCATTAGCATTTTTAATGTACCTGTTGAACGCATTTAATGAAATTTTTTAAGAGAAATTATAAATTTGTCGTAGGTTGTACGCAATGGGGAAGTAGTTTTGGTCCACTGTGTGGCAGGAGTGTCAAGATCGGTGACACTGTGTCTGGCATACTTGGTCAAATGGCAGAAGATGTCACTTAGAACCGCATACCATCACATGAAACAGAGAAGGTAAATATAAAAAGTTGGAATGCATATTTTTTTATAATAATACTAGCATACCCGGCCACGCGTTGCTGTGGCTAAGGTTCTTGAATAAAATAATATTGCGACTATAAATTCAGATGTAAGCTTTTTTCAAGTTAGATCAAATTGCAGACAATGTGAAAATCAAATTTGCAATCAGTTCAGTATTTTAGGAGGCCATCACGGACAAACAACGTGACATGTAATTTATGTATATAAAGTTTAACCCTGGACAATTCATATAGCGCCATTTAATACTAAGCTAAGCAGAGCTCGTGTTACAGGTGCTAGACAACTTATATACATTTAAATTGTAAATACAGGGGGAAAGGGGATTGTTAGTAATGTGGACTGATGATCTTATTGCTAGCAATGTACCATATCAGGTTGACCTCCACGCGGTTCCCCCTGGAAAGCATCGTGATAAATTCTTGGTGAATTTGTCACGATAGGCTAACTGACCTGACCTCATGCTCATCTTATCATTCTACACTGGTGCCCCGCCAGCGTAAACCGTTAGCGCAGGCGGGAGCACCATTCCATTATCATCGTAAATTTCAATCATACAGTTCAATTTCCTCCAGGTCCAAAATTTCTAAGATGTTTAAGATTGTTGTGTTAAGAAGCTTAGTAAAGTCAGCTGCGGCTCCAGTATTGGGTTGAGGAGCAGCACCCTCTCCCTCTATCTATACCATAGTTTTAAATTGAATATTTTTCTTCTAGGCCACAAATTCGACCGAATACAGGATTTTTCAAACAGCTAATTAAATACGAAGAAAGGCTCTTCGGCGAAGCGTCGGTTAAGATGGTTTATTGTGAAGCCATCGATAAAGAAATACCCGACGTGTACGAGCCAGAATACAGTGCAATGACTTGGTTCAGACAACGGTATGGACCCATAGAGAGTTAAAGATTGAACGATATGGTATGGTTCGTTCTAAACCACAATTCGCTAATACCTTAAAGTTAACGGTAAATTTATTATTAAGTAATTTATATGTCTATCTCCATACTCACGATACAATTTTTACGTAAAATTTCGTTAAATTCCATTCATTCCATAGTTCAGCACTACCTATATGACGTGCAGATTGAAGCAGAATGACTTTCAATTAAATTTACTGAAGTCAAATGTAAATGAAATAATAAATTAAAAATTAAAATATTATTCTGAAGAATATATCCTGTTTTGAGAATTGTATTTTAGAATCAACTTCAGTCATACGTTTGTGCGTAAATTTTGAATTGAATGACAAACTATGAATGTAAATTATTAAAAGACTGAGTGAGTGAATGATTTATTTAGTAACTTCCTGTATTGTAATGAAAACGATCAGATGAAGCGGTGTTTAATAATATGTAGATGTTAATGGATAATTTATCGATATTTTAAAATAGCAATTGTTATTATAATCAGTTCAACAACTCCCAAATAACTTTTGAATACTTTGTTTGTTTTGAAAAGTAAAGTGCATAATTAATTGCTTAGCAAAATTTAGGGTTACCAATATTAAAAATTATAATATGGTATATGACTTGTCAATCATTTATTAGACTTTGATAGGTATTGCATGAACGCTATTAGCTCGATATATTAGACAACCTACTACAAAAATGTTAGGTCGGCCTATTTAATTATTATATTTGTAAGAAATGTGATAATGTATCTTATAATTTATATATAGTTCTAGTTTGTAAGATATATGTATAGGTAAATGGGACCAAAATAAATATACTCACATTAATTAGAACATGTGTTTTTATTTTTGCTTTTGTAATAGTACTAGTAATAGTAGTGCCCCATAAGAATATCATCAAATTTTTCAGGATTAACGAAATTTTATATAGCCAGGGCCCATTGGAGGTCGTGGTCGTGGTCGTGGTTTTGCCGTTAAATATCCCGTGTAATCATAATAATAATCATACAAGGGTCGTGATTTCAAATCTGGTCAGTAATGTATGACTGAATCTTAGATGAAAACATATTGGTACCAGTAAGAACCCTCGCAGTCGGCGGTAGACTCATCACCTCTCTCACACATAGAATTCAAATATAATGAGCGAAATGTAGGCATATCTAACCGTCGATCTTCATTTTGCTGATTTACATTATTGCATTAAACGCAAAGCTTCTGTCTACCCTATCAATAATAATCGTCGTGAATATATTATTAATATTACGTACATTTTTCTACTATGATGTTCCCCTTACGTCATCTTGTTAACTAATTGCAATTGATGTGTAATGAGTAATCTCATTCAGCTAGAGTTGTTGGCCCCGTGGCATTGAGCTATGTAGCGGACAGAAATAGCCAAGGTGCCGGGGGAGAGTGCGTGGGGGGAACCCACTGAACAATTCGAGTCTCGCTTCCGTGTAGTGATGTAATGTCGCTGATACAATTACACATTTTTATATCGATTAATATGAAATGATGCATCTACAAAAACAAAATTACACAAATAAAAAATTACAAATCAATCAACACCGTGACCAATATCGAAAACGTAGTTCATTATCCGCAGGAATTTTTACTAAACCCGTCTGGACTGCTACCATACGATTTGATGTAAAAAATCGGAATTTCTCAAAAGCATGATCCAATCATAATTTTGAGAAATGTAAACCCATTAGAGACTGCTATGAAGGACAATATAATTGTACCGACCATTACCAGCGGCACGGGCCAAAGCAACCGGACAACTAGTTCATATACCAAGATTACCGATGATCCCAATTGATCTGCCAATACCATATAAAAGGCCCCAATTTCCGTTTAAAATATCTTACGTTACCTGCGCTAACGGTATCTGCTGGAGGAGCATTAATGATGGACATGAAGATAGGTTGAAGTGTACCGTTAGCGCAGGTATATGTACCCACTGGGTTTTTTTTTGTGTATGATAATGGAATGGTGCACCCGCCTGCGCTAACGGATTACGCTGGCGGGGCACCAGGATGATAAGATGAGCATGAAGTCAGGTCAGTTAGCCCATCGTGACAAATTCACCAAGAATCCATCACGATGGTTTCCAGGAAGAACCACGTGGAGGTCGACCTAACATGGTACATTGCTAGCAATAGGAGTTACTAGTTCCCATTGCTAACAATCCCCTTCCCCCGGCACCCACTGGGTTGACGGTATACGGTGACAGCTTCTGCGAATACTAATGGTATTGCGTAGGTGGGTGCTACTAATGCTCATTAGTGAAGGATGATGGGCATGAAGATTGGTTGAAGTGCAGGTACCGTTAGCGCAGATATATGCAACCACTGGGTTGACGATATACACTGAGGTTTCTGGGTATATCGTCAGCGTAGTTGGGTGCAATTAATGCTCATTAGTGATGGATGATGGGCATGAAGATAGGTCAGTTAACTCGTCGAATTCAATAGCAATAAACTGTGATGGTTTTCAGGGCAAACTTGGAAGTCCAACAAGTAAAGGTCTAACAGTTACAGGGGGCAGTGACCCATAATAATAACCTCCCCACCCCTCCCTCCCCCTTATGTAATTACTGCAAATGTACATAAATAACATTAGAAACATAACATAAGAAATTTCCCTTTTCCGAAAACTTTAATATATGTAATGTAATATATGTTTTAATACGTTAGCAATTTGTATGAAAACTTCGATAGCTCAACGAGTGAAAAAAATACCACAATCTTTGTAGGATATAATCTAATAATCTCGCGTAGGCTGCAGAAATTATTGACAATAAAGCAAAGTGATGTAGATACTACAAATTCATAAAGGACATCGTAGGTATAATATATATCTTGGTCTACAAAGTAAAAGTAATATTATATTATAGTCGTGTCCATTGTTACCCTGAAATAAATAAATTCATTAAAATGTCACAGATTTAGTATTACACACAATATTCAGTACAGTGGAGATTTCAGCTCAGGGACCGTTTAAAGATACTAGTTCTTAGAAATAGAATGAATCAATATATTACACACATAAATTGGATTTAATGGCCCACGAGAGTTCTAATATTGTACAATTAAATATTTCAACAGCAGTGAATAAAAAAATAAAAACACAAAATGACTTAGCAGAGGTAGTTTTTTAGCAGACCTAATTTCATATTAATTAAAATCTAAATAGTCCATGAGGCTTCGAAGGTGCCGAGGTGAGCTTGAGTTGAGTTTTCTTAAAATTGGGAAAGCTAAATAATTGTATTCTGCGTCATACTCAGTAACGCGGTTGCTACTACAGTTATGATTAATTGAATTTAGGTCACTAAATCTAGATTATTAGTTTCATACGATTTGTGCTTTTTTTTAGAAAGAAAATATAAATCCATGAATATTTCAAATTTTACTATTATTTAAGAAGAGTTTCAGGGCCAATCGTCATGGCTGAACCAACCAATGATTATGGGCTGTACTTACATTTTTTTATACTACGTAGTTGGCAAACAAGCATACGGCCCATCTGATGGTAAGCGGTTATCGTATTTTATTTCCATTCTATTCTAATCAACCTAAGGTAGCTAAGATTGTCGATAATCATACCAATATTATAAATGCAAGGTTTGTGAGTATGGATATTGTTTGGAAGTTGTTCAGGTCAGCAAGTATGCAATAATTAAGATGAATGGAAATCTGTATTTAAAACGATAGCTATACAATAATTCAAAGTACCTATAAGACATTAGTATCTACCGAAGATTTTTCCACCTGACTCTGGTTGTACGTGTGTCGTTGCTGTCATTGGTTTGTTGCCAATAATCATATACACCGTCCATTCCATCAATGCTGATGTTCAAATATTTACTCATTTTCTTTCTTCCTACAAAGAAATTAAAGAATAAACTTGAATGACAAATATTTATTCGAGTTAATGCATTAAGTTATTATGTAGTATAGAGCAGACATTGTGTACAAAAAAAATGTATGTTTATGTCGTCGTATCTACATAGTTTGGTGATATTTCTGGTAGTTTGTCTTCAATACAATGTCTACAGGGGTAACACCTGCTTGTGCCCGGTCCTTGTGAATACTCTATAATTCGGTCTAGTACTATTATTATCCTGAGATTATGCTTCTTTAGTAGAGAAAGAAAAAGTTATTTCTCTGTTTGTGTACAATTTTTGAATTATCATTTTGTGGTATGCATGGTATTTAATTTGGCAAAAGTAAATTACCTGTCTATGTTAACAATTTTTTAATTATTAATTTGCTCAGTATTTTAATGGTAAGCATATTTAATTAACTATTACAAATATTTTCAGGGATCTATGTGAGCATACCAACAAGTCTAGCGAGTGTTTCAGGAAAGCCGCCTTTTCTGCCACCAACTACTACTCCTATACCAGTTACCTACTTCAGTCGATATGAGCTAGCAATAGAAAGAATTGTAGCGATAGTGCTGCAATTTATAGACTAATGGTGATAGGTTCGTTATATCTTTAGTGTGTACAATACCTCAATGACTTGACGGAGGAAACTTGACGTGACTTGGCAACCATTCATGTCCCAAGTTCAATGTTTTCGCTAATTACGACTCCTACTCCGCTACCTAATTACAATTCAGCAAGTATGACGTATGTATAACTGATGAAAAGCTGTCTGGAAATAATACCTACGTATGTACCAATGACGCCATCCCAACGAACAATATTTTGAGTCAGCTTCTTTGTTTGGACCGAGTTATTTTGGTTACGGTATGACGGTTATAGTCGGTACAAATATATACATACATATAGGTGCATATGTTTTTAAATGTATGTGTCGAATTCTCCGGATAGCAGCAGGTTTTCGCGGAAGTCAACACCTGTCTGGAGATGAACCTTCAGATGTAATGGACGGTAGTTTAGAAAATAGCCAGCCATTGGCTTTTTTTAAACTACCGATGCACAAGCTGATATCTGTTCGGCGACTGTATATCCGGCTCGAAGGACCACTGT